AGTATCTTATATGTTGACCGGGATAACCAGCTATCATCATAATCCCTCTAGTGGTTTTTCCGTGCAGTCACAGACATACAGACAGACAGACAATTAGTTTAGTTACAATTTTATTATATGTATAGATGTAATAATCGAAGATTTTTCTACATTTGTACGTAAAGTTTTCTATACTAATATTAAAATGCACTAATTTAACTTTTTTTATTATTAACTAACTTTAAGACTGCAATAACAATATTTTTTTCTCATCAAACAAATGTCAACAATACAAAACTATGAATCATCATATTGTCATCACATAAACAATGGTGTCCATTTCGCAATTCCAATTTTCCGTGCATATTTTTCTGATATATGTATATGAGGGAAAAGATTGCTAAGTATGAGCATGTTCCCATATGTTAACATCAAGCGGGCAGGCATGTGCAGGCAAAAAGCTGTTGTTGTAGATCTTAAAAATAGCAATACATATTTGTTTTTAATTAAAACTAGCGACTCCCTAGGTAAGTTTTAATTTTATTGAGCGGAACCCTAATTCTTTTTCTTAAATAAAAGTAGCCTAAGTTACTTCTTATAACGTCAGCTATCTACCAGTGAAAATCCCGTCAAAATCAGTCCAGCCGTTTTGAAGATTAGCCGGAACAACCAGACAGACAATATTTTTTAAAATTGTGTATTTCTTATATGTACCGTATATAATTTTAAATATATATGCATTTTTAGTAAAAAGCTGTTATTTTGACATTGCAAACAAATACTTACTTTAATTTTATTTATGTATATTATCTGTATAGATTAGTTTTTGCCGGCAGTAAACTATGAGTGTGTACTTTAGGCCGGCCTCTCGATTCAATCTAAGTCTTTGCCAAATACAAAATAACATATTCCTCGATTTAGGCTTGAAAACGCAATAAACAAACAGAGCTAGACCAACAGAGCGAGAATATGGATTAATATTTAATTAATATAATCTTATGTGTTCTTATTTTTTATGGTAAACTCGGCTTTAATCAGTAATTAAAACAGGTTTTAAAATCTTTATGCTTACAATTTTTTTCCTTTTTAATTTTTTTTTTGATTGCATAGTTTTATTAATAAAAAAACATTTTTATTCATTGAGCTGATTCAGTAGATACTGTGAGTGTTTGAATTCTTGTTTGCCTTCATTTATTACGGAACGGCGCGGCGTCGAAAACGGAAAAGCATGCATTTAATTAACGTTGAAACTTGAATTGAAGAAAAATATTCCATGCATTTATATACAATTATTTACATTTTAAATCTAAAAAAACAATTAATATAAAATTCATATGCCTACTGAAAAAAAAATATGACTCTGTCCAGAAAATTTTAACTATTTAATTAGAAATGTTGATGTCTGTAAAAGAATTAAAAAAAATCATATTTGCGTATATTTATAATATACTAGTGAGCTACTCTCGCTTCGCTCCTTTAGAGGCACATCAAACTTCAAAGCAACGTATTAAAAAATTGTATATCTTAAAAAGGCCTACAGAAAGTCTGCAACAGCAAATTTATCTCATAAGGCACGCTCACAATAACTACTTTTATCTATATAAAACGTACCATATGGAGGCACCCCAGTGAAGCTAGGGTAACAATAAATTACTAGTAATAAAATAATGAGAAAAATTATATACATACATACAAGCATATCTATACATATAATAAAATTCTAACTAAGTCGAATCTGTACATTAAATATTTTTGGGAAAATCTTATTGATATAAACATTATTATCGATACAGAGGCCGAATCTATAGTTTTTAGAATTTTTGTCTGTCTGTCTGTTACCGCATCACAGAAAAAACACTGGAGGGATTTTGATGAAATTTGGTATGATGATAGCTGGTTATCCGGGTCAACATATAGGATACTTTTTACCGCGGCAAAATATCTCATTTTTGAGAAAAAATACAAAAACTGGAATGTAAGAGTATACTAACATGTAAAACCTAAGAGTTTGGTTTTTGGTAATCTGAACGCTGGCGGAGCCGCGGGCAATGCTAGTACTTTAATAAAAGTCTAGGCCATGTTACGGTCTCTACTTAGAGACAGTATATTGTAATTTTTTGCCCATCTAAAATTATTTAATATTTTTATTGTATACTAGGGGTTCACCCTCACTTCGCTTGGGTTCGCCTCTAGAAAAACAAAAAAAAAATTACTCGGGAACCGTACATTTTTCCGGCATATATGTATAAGTAGCCTGTGTGTTATTACAGACTATAATCTATCTCTGTTTCTAATTTCATTCAGATCCGTTCCGCCGTTATGGCGTGAAAGAGTAACAAACATCCATACATACTCACAAACTTTCACATTTATAATATGGATTTTTTATGTTAAAGGATTTCTATAAAATAATACGGATTTATTACTACTATATAAATCTTATTTGAATGTTAAAATAAAATGAAGTACTTGACCGACTTTAAAAGAGGCAATGCTCGACTTGAGTGTATGTACTTTTGTGTGTATGTTACGCAATATCTTATTCGTTCCTACTTACGTTTTAACGTTTAGTATAGATTTCTCAGAGATGAGATATTTTCCCATGGTAAAAGGTATTCTAGTATATGTTGACTCCGATAACCAGCTACCATCATACCAAATTTCATATAAATCCCTCCAGTGGTTTTTCCGTGATGCGGTCACAGACAGACAGCCAAAAATTCTAAAAACTATAGATTCTGCCACTGTATCGATAATAATGTCTATTTTAATAAGATTTTCCAAAAAATATTTAATGTACAGATTCGGCTTAGTTACAATTTTATTATATGTATTAAGTATGTATAGATTAAAAATGTAGGCCAAGTTCAAAGGAGTTCGAGGTCACGCGGTCAGTCACGGCTCACCGGCATTCAGCAATGTTTGTATAACAACGGTTGTTGATGTTTCTATAGGCATTAACTTGATGTCGATTTTCTTATAGTTTTATTTTTATTAATAGATACATAAATTGAAGCGACATTAATTATTAATTTTGCCTCATTTCATAATAATTTATGCGAAAAAAATTAAACATTCATTAGAACTCGAAACGTATGGAAGCATAAGAAATATACATAAGTGATTCAATGTAGACATAATATATAGGTTCGGATAACTAAATAAATAAATTGTGTTGGGACATTAACACACAGCACTATCTAGTTCCATGGTAAGCTGCGAGGCTTGTGTTATGGATTCCAGATAGTTGATACACTACACATATATAACTTTAAATACATACAATATACAAATTATAAATATTAATACTCATGATTGGAGTAAAAACATCCGTGCTCATCACACAAATGAATGCCCCCAACGGGACTCGAACCCGCGACCGCTGGCACAGCAAGTACAAAGCAAAGTACTACAAACTGAGCCAAACGTGTCGTCAAAATAGACAGAACAAAAAAATATAAGATTATTTTATTAGATATAATTAGATCTACAAGCGTAATACATTCATGACCCGATTGTACCGAATCATTTATTGTCAATAAAAAATTTAATTTAGCCGATCAATAGGTACAATCATTTTATAAGAAATGATTTTACCGAGTGAGAGTGGCATAGTTTACTTTTTATCATGGAAAAGAAAAAGAATTACTGTTAGAATAGACGATAAGATTTAGACGGGATCTGCACTCCAATGATACATATTTCCGGGATAAATAGTAGCCTATGTACTATTCCAGACTATAATCTAGCTCTGTGCCAAATTTCATGCAAATCCGTTCAGCCGTTTTGGCATGATCGAGTAACAAACATCTAAACTTTTACATACTACTAATATTATAAACGCGAAAGTTTGTAAGAATGTACGAGTGTTGGCACTAACTTCTGGGTCGGTGATTTTTCAATAAAACACGTTACTTGCACTTAGTGAATTTACTCTCACGTTCCAACACTTACACAATCACTTTTCTTATTCCTTATTTTTCAAAAGTTGATTAAGAACTGAACTATATTAGGACAGTGTCACATTTTTATTAACTACCCGAGACAATCAATTGACTTAAAATAGTTCAATAACAGAATCAACAAAATCACTTTATTTAATTAAATCAGTTTAATATTTTTTTAAATAAGTTTATAATTATTATCTATACCAAATAATATTTATTATACATTCATGGAGTGATTTATGATATTACATATATTTTATGATATTACATTATTATAGGCCAACATTCGGCCATCCGACCAAATCTACGCGTCCTCGTGTAGGCTATATTATGTATTTATACTGATTAATGTAGCTCATGTAACTTACATAGTTTGACAATATTTAACTTAATCGTTTCCAATTATACATTGTTCAACAATATATTATGTAAAACAATAAATATCCAATTAATAAAAATCACCAATTTGATAAAATCAAACTTGATGACGACTAGTCATAAAAAATCTCAAGGGCCGCTTCTGCCAATAAAACTTTTATCATAACAATATAGAATACAATACATTTGTAAATATAAAAACCGTATTGATAACATTTATACATCATTTCATGATTAAATACATCAAAAAAAAATTGACAATCGCAGCAACAACACATCAAAATCGTTAGGGCCGCTTCTACCCATTCAAATGTATCGTAACAGGCCGCTTCTGCACTGAATACGACACACGAACAGTGACATGCCGCTTCTGCACTGAACACTGACATTCATCAGGGTTGCTTCTACCCTGTACAACTAATCTCTTTCATCAATTTTAAAAATACAGCAACAGGCCGCTTCTGCACTGAATACTGTTCGACTGTTAGGGTCCATACTGCCCAATTTAAATAATTAACAACAGATGTATGCTTCATAGTCTTTTAATAATTAACACAGAACTATCGATTTGTTATTCTAAAGATATTCATTTACAATTCTTTAAAAATATTAACTTAGCTCCTTAGAATACTAATAGCAACAGTAAATTAAAACCATTTATTATAACAGTCATAAACGAAATTTGGTTTAGGGTTAACAATCAGAATTAGAATCTTCAATATTATCTTCGTTACTAGATTCAATTTCATCAGGTCTGTTATAACTTAGCCACGGTTTTAATTTATCGACCGCGACTACAGAAGTAAATTTACGATTGCCCTTACGTGTAAGAGGTGTATCTACAATCTCATATCTATCGTTCCCTAATACTGAGGCTATACGATATGGGCCCTGAAATTTTGGAACTAACTTACGGCTTTGTCCTGACGATTGTATTTCTCTCGCAACGCTAACCAAATCTCCAATTTTAAAAATTTTAGGTTGTACAGAATTCTTATTATATAGTTCTTTGCTTTTGCTTTGGTATGTGGAAATATATTCATTAATCTTATCACGAATGTCACTTACTTTATTAGAGTCTATTTCGTTATTGTCACCCAAGAGGGACTTCACCCTATTCTCAGTAAAACCGACCAATGTGGTACCAAAGAGAGCTTTCGCGGGAGTCGTTCCTATACCCTTATTATGAGTATTGTTAAGGCCCCACTGTACACCTGGAACATATACATCCCATTTTTTTTCATCTTGGCCGTTACACATAGCAGTCAACGCATCTAGCAACGTACGATTGTATCTTTCTACTTGCCCGTTTGCTCTAGGTGTTGAAACTGCGTTTAATATCTGTTTTATACCTAATCCGTGCAAGAAATCTTTGAATTTGTTACTTGTGAATGAAGACCCACGATCTGATATAATTCTATTCGGCATACCAAAAATACTAAAATATTCCTTTAATTTATCAATAACTATAGAAACTTTAGTACTTCTTACTGCTTGGATAATTATAAATTTAGTATACGCGTCAATGATTACTAATAAATGAGTGTTCCCCTTTGAACTCTTTACGAACGGCCCTACATGATCTATATGCAAAGTGGCAAATGGAGAATCTACCTTTGGGATCGGATTTAATGGTGGTTTTCTGTTGGAAGAGGCTTTTACGTAAGCACATTCTAAGCATGACTCGACATATTTTTTGACAAAACGGCGCATTTTACTGAACCAATAAGTTTCTTTAACTTTTGCTAAAGTTTTATCAAACGCGAAATGCCCAATATCGTCGTGACACTGTTTAAGGATTTGCCAGCGTACGCCCTTTGGTACTACCCATTTATTACCCTGATCAGTCACACGAAATAACCTATTATTACGTAATACATAATTTTTCGTTATATCGGCAATATGAATCGACCCTGGGTCTTTTAAAATCGAAACTATCCGCTGTATTTCTGAATCAGATTCCTGTACAGTACTTAACCAATCAGATTCCTCAACTACCATAACTGTTTCACTATTTTCCTTATTCATAAGTGGCGGATTTCTACTAAGAGCATCAATATAACTCATCGTTTTACCTGGCCGATATTCTATAGAAAAATCAAACTCTTGCATAGTTATCCACCATCTGGCCACTCGTGGTATTAAATCTTTTTTTAAAAATGTCGCTCGAAGGGAATTACAGTCTGTAACAACTTTAAAACTAACACCGATTAAGTAAACGCGAAATCTTTGTAATGATGCGACCAGAGCTAAAGTTTCAAGTTCGTATGCTGTCATGTGCTGTTCATAAATGGTCGTTTGTCGACTGTAATACGCAACGGGTCTGAGTAGGTTATCTCTCCCGCGCTGCATAAGGATCCCAGCAATACCCAATTTACTGGCATCCGTATGCAACTCGGTATCGTCGCTAGGATCGTACAATTTTAAAACTGGCTTTTGCAGTAAAATTTCTTTAAGAGTGTTAAATGCTGTTTTCTGCTCAGAACCCCATTCCCACTTAGAATCTTTTTTTAAAAGACTTGTCAATGGCTTAGCAATATTCGAAAAATTTTTGATAAACCGCCTAAAGAAACTACATAACCCAATGAATTGTCTAACAGTATGCAAATTACAAGGCTCTGGAAATTCTTTGACAGACTGAATTTTTCTTGATCCTGGCCTAATGCCTTCCTTACTGAGCTCAAAACCTAAATAATCTACAGATTTACTAAAGAAATAGCATTTAGATAATTTTAATGTTAATCCTGCGTTCGACAATAACTGCAAAACCTTTTCTAACTTATTTAATCCTTCTTCTATTGAATTTGAGGGTATAATTATATCGTCCATATAAGCCGATGCTATATCCCTAGCACTAGACAGAACTAAATTGATCATACGCATAAAATTTGCCGGTGCGTTAGCTAACCCGAAGGGCATCCTATTAAATTCAAACTGCCCATCTGGCGTGACAAACGAAGTTTTGTAACGATCTTCTTCGTTTATACTTATTTGGTAATAACCAGAAGCTAAATCAAGGACAGTGTAATATTGATATCCTGCTAATGAATCTAATTGATCGTCAATCCGGGGTAAAGGAAAATTTTCTTTGTAAGTTTTTCTGTTTAGGGCCCTATAATCGACACATAGGCGTACCTCACCAGTTTTCTTTTTAACAACGACTATGGGACTAGCATAAGGTGACGTCGAAGGTCGCACTATTTTGCAGTCGACTAATTCGTTAACTAACTCCCGCACTTTATTCCTTTCGCAAACAGGTAACCTATAAGGTCTGTACACTACTGGCTCATCGTCTTTCAATTTAATGGACATATTTACTAAATCAGTTTTCCCAAGTTCCTGTAGACTAAAAGCAAAACACTGTCTGTAATTATTAAGCAAGCGTATTAATGAATTAATTGTTTTAGTACTTAGCGTTCCATCGGACATTATTTCATTACTGCTAATACTACGCGGAGATGTAGGTACGTCTATTCGGAGAACGTCAGGCTTATTATTATTACTTAGTGGCTCAGCTCGAATACACCTTGCTATTACTGTACCACGTTTAATAATAAATGTTCGCGAACTAATCCCTTTCACCAATGCTATACCTAGACCATTGACAATGGAAAACAATCCTTGTACCACATAGTGTTCTTCCCCATTTTTGAACCTATTGCTGCCCTCAATATAAACATCGCCCGTAAATGAAGGGTCTGTGCTAAATTCTACTAATGTCAGTCCGTCAATTATCGTATCTTTGGAGCAATTAAGGTTATACTTAATACGTGTTGGTGCTATTTCATTTGAGAATATTTTCAACATTACATTATCCTTTTCAACCATTATGTGAGGTTGTTCAGTAAATGATCTACCAATTAGCAACGGCTCTTTCAGTACTTCATCCGGTACGATAACCAGTTCTACCAAAGCACTAGCATGATCAATTTTAACTGTGGCCAAAAATTTACCTATTGGTTTAACCATTGAGTTGCCAAATCCTATCAGAGGTGGTATCGAATTATCAGGAACCCATTTGACATCTAAACTTTCTACATCTGACATTCTAATAAGACTTACTGCGCTACCAAAATCAATAAAGCATGTTTTTAAAATACCATTTACAACAGCCTCTTTATAATACTTATGACAGTTCGCGTTAATACCAGCTACAAGCATGACGGAATTAGATGTAAGTTTACTATTGGTATTTACTAAAGTTTTGCTACCATTCTCGCATTTATCCGAAGTATGTCCGAAACGTAAACATTTAGTACATTTTATAATTGGGCTAGGGCATTGAGATTTATAATGACCCCTTTGTGAGCAATTAAAGCATATTATTACGCGATCCCGTCGGATATCATCCCTACTTACACTTGAATCAGTATTTCGAACACGTTTTCTATCATTAACATTACTAGTACCCCTAGTACTTATAAGAAACGGAAGCAATTGTTCCGGTGTTTCAAATCGAGCCGATTCTGCTCCTAACCTTACAGTACGATCGTCAATTCCAAATACAATGCAATCTACCGCTTTCTTTCCTTCAATGCCACAACGATTCAATAAAACTACTTTGTCATAGAAGTAATCCTCGAGAGATTCGTTAAACCTAGCACGTTTGGCTAACATTGTCGAGAGTAATCGCCCATAGTTATCATCGTTAGGAAAAGCCAGGCGCAGTTTATCTTGCCATTCCTTCCACGTAAACATTACAGTATTGAGACCTTCATACCACTTTTGAGCAGTACCCTTCAATTTTGGAAGTGCATAGTGAGTTGTCTGTTTGTCAGTCCAGCCATAAATAACTGCACACTCATTTACTTTGTGCAACCACATATCAATGGTCTGTTCTTTACGGGAGGGATCAAAGTCTGGAAGCGTATTTTGTGTCTGTAATCTATCATTACTATTATTTTTCCCTATAGTTTGTAATGCTTGTATTAACTGTGTAAGAGTAACATTTCCACTATTTGACAAGGTTTCTGGCACTAACCTGTCTGGTGTTAAAACTTGGCGGGGAGACCTTTGCTGTTGTTGCCGTTGCATCTGGCTGGTTTCAGTATGGCCACGCTGCACGGCCCTGCTGTGTCCAGGTCGGCTGCGTGAACGGTGACTGGTAGGACTTAGCGATCGGTGGCTGCTGCGGCTGCGCGTCCGGTAGTTGGCACGACTGTGCCTGCGACGATCAGCGCGACTGCGTGACTGCACACACATACGGCTGCGCGACCGTCGGCTGGGCGAGCGACCACTGCGGGTCTGGTGATGGTGGTTCGCATGGCTTCGCACACTGCGACTGCTATCACCACGACGCCGACTTCTAGTGGACTTCAATCTACTCCGCGATCGCCGATCCACTGACGCCTTGGGGCTCTCATCGTTTCCCATTTCACTGTTGAAATATTTTCGACACATCATTTGTACAACGACAATTTAAAGTAAAAGTTTAGACTGACAAAGGTTATACACATTATACACCGTATCACATATTAAGAACGTTATTTTACCCAACAAAACAACAGAAAAACGAAAAGTAATAAAGACAAAAATTTTATGTATATTTCATAAAACACAATTGATACTTTCACTGGAATACTATATAATATTTTTAAATTCATATAATGTAACTTTCTAATTTTATATTATGTACAAATATTTGTAGGCTTGGCAGGTAAGCAAAAGAAAGAAAAAAAAATTCTGTTACTCACCTTATCCCACTTCTGAAATGTTGGCACTAACTTCTGGGTCGGTGATTTTTCAATAAAACACGTTACTTGCACTTAGTGAATTTACTCTCACGTTCCAACACTTACACAATCACTTTTCTTATTCCTTATTTTTCAAAAGTTGATTAAGAACTGAACTATATTAGGACAGTGTCACATTTTTATTAACTACCCGAGACAATCAATTGACTTAAAATAGTTCAATAACAGAATCAACAAAATCACTTTATTTAATTAAATCAGTTTAATATTTTTTTAAATAAGTTTATAATTATTATCTATACCAAATAATATTTATTATACATTCATGGAGTGATTTATGATATTACATATATTTTATGATATTACATTATTATAGGCCAACACGAGTATGTATGGATGTATGTTTGTTACTCTTTCACGCAAAAACTACTGAATGGATTTTAATGAAACTTTACAATAATATCGTTCATACATCAGAATAACACATAGACTACTTTTTATCCCGGAAAAATGTACGGTTCCAGTGGGATAGATTTGATTTTTGTTTTTCTAGAGGCGAACCTGAGCGAAGCGAGTGTGAGCCGCTAGTTTATAATAAGTAAAGTAGGATATACATACATAAATTAAAAAAAAATGCCATTATAATAGATATAATCTAAACTTAATTTGTTAAATAATAATTAAACTCGCGTTAATCAAATGAATCATAATCATAAACTACATTTAATTCACACACGTAACTTATTATGGTAAATGTTATACTTCAATATGCAACAATAGGATTGCAAAATTTGCTGACCAAGGTCGAGACATCGCGACCATGATGCACTTGCGCAAGTAAAGACCATCTTTATAAACTAGAGTTTAAAGAAAAAAGTCGTCTAGCTTATTTTTAAAACAAATTTGTATGACAAATATTATCATTACATATTATGTATTATGTACGTTTCAAATAAATATTTTATTGTAAGACTAGCGACATGATAGTGTTACTTACCGTGCTAGCGAATTATACTATTTTTACTCGGATGCGTCCCTAGGTAAGTTTTAATTTTTTTTAAACCCTAAAAAAAATTTATTCCATAATCAGCGTCAAAACGTACCTAGGGAGTAGGGACGAACCTGATCGAAGAGAGGGTGTGGCTAGTAATTAATATAATAAAAAAATATTTGATGCTTTATTTTTGCTTAATTTGTGGGCTAATATTTTTTATAAAAATTGAGTGAAGGACGGACAAACATTTAAGCATTTAAAACGTATTTTATTTCTTCTGGGCCAATTAACGTAATAATACGAAAATGTCAAAGGTTTAAACATTAATTATCAAAAACTATTAAACGTATTGTACTTTGAAAAATCTACGCGAATTGTTATATATATATATATATATATATATATATATATATATGATTTTAGGCTATATATTTTTTGAAATCCACACACTTTTCATATATATATTTTATTTACTTTAGCTTAAAGAAAGGACGTTATTTATTTAATATTAAATTTTTAATTCATTTAAAGTAAATATTTAATTTATATATAAGCAAAAAAACTATATATATAACATAAGGTCTCTGAAGACCCAAAATAAACAACTACCGTACACGTACCAAAGCGGTGACAACTCACAGCTACTTTATTAATTTAAAATGAGGAAATAAAACAATTTTTCATCGATACTTCCATTTTAATTTCGTATAGCCATTGAACTGTGAACATTTAGTAAAATAGTATAAGCTCTATCGTAGTATGTGTCCACTCACTGCTTTAATTTAATCTTCTCAGTGGCGAGCGCAAGTTTGCGTATGTTGCATAGACAACCGGCAGATGCTTCTTGTAAAATAGGATCCTTTGACCCTATAGTTTCCAATAAAAATTGAACTACACCAGCCTGTGAAATAAACAAATAAATTTAAACTCAGCAATATAACTAAATATTTTATTACGCGCCGCTAGTTTAGTCGAAGACATCGAGCGCCTTCGTAAAACCTCTGTGGTGTTCGTCTACGCAGGCACGGTAATCTAAACATTAAATAATAAAAACTTTTTAACAAAAAAATAAAAACCGACTTCAAACAAAAGCACTAAAAAGTAAAAAATAACTGATTGGTAGTTTTCATTTACTATACATACCTAATCAAATATTTTCGAAGTCGGTGTGCTTTGCTTTGTATGGGCTGGCACCGATTTCGAAAATATTTGACTAGGTATGTATTTAATAGGTAGGCTTTAATTACTTAGCCAAAGCACACCGACTTCGAAAATATTTGATTAGGTATGTATAGTAAATGAAAACTACCAATCAGTTATTTTTTACTTTTTAGTGCTTTTGTTTGAAGTCGGTTTTTATTTTTTTGTTAAAAAGTTTTTATTTTTCCCTTTTTAGTGTAAACAGTAGTAGCAAAGTAAGAATTCTAACGTGTTAGGCTTGTCAAATCAAACAAAATAAGCCCAAACTCAAAGTATCTACTATTAGCCGTTGAAGAGTTCCACCTATCCACCTTCTGGCCTTGCCATCAGATCAGGTCAACAACACCGAACCACTGTACTATCAACGGAAATAGAAATAGTTGCAAAATTTCAAGTCAATACGACAATTAGAAGTAGGTTAAATTCATCATTAGTTGTTTTTCCACCCTTAGGGGTGGTATTTTTTTTTAAATTTAAATGGGACCAATCTGGAAGTATACCCTTTCAAACAAAACAAAAATTGTCCAAATCGGTTAATAAATGACGGAGTTCTGAGGTAACAAACATAAAAAAAAACATACAGTCGAATTGAGAACCTCCTCCTTTTTGAAGTCGGTTGAAAAAGCCAAATCTGTACATTAAATATTTTTTGGAAAATCTTATTGAAATAGACATTATTATCGATACAGAAGCCGAATCTATAGTTTTTAGAATTTTTGTCTGTCTGTCTGCCTGTTACCGCATCACGGAAAAACCACTGGGGCGATTTTGACGAAATTTGGTATGATGATAGCTGGTTATCTGGGTCAACATATTGGATACTTTTTACTGCGGGAAAATATATCCTATACATATAAGAAATCTATACTAAACGTTAAAACGTAAGTACGGACGAACCCGAGCGGAGCGAGGGTGAGTCGCTAGTGTTATACATATAACATTACCGTGACGCAGGTACCAGGCAGGCAGGAAAAGTATGACGACGAATAATATATGTATTTTGGCGCGGGATTGATTGATTTTCTCTTGTGTGGATAAATTTTATTAAATACTGACAATATAACGAATAAATACATGAAAAGTGTTTCATTGTTTCATATTTTTTTTCTTATCAAACAATAACATTAATTATTTTATCGCGCTTTTTCTTTCGCATTAAACTAAAAATATAATATAAGATTACCATATTATTATATAAAAATAAATTTAATAACATATTATGCAAGATTTTTAAAGTGAACAAGTAGCAAATTCATTTGCGTTTCGAGTGACGTTTTTCGTGTCAACTATGGCACGACCTTTGATATATGCAAGCGTAATGAGTGTTTGCACTTACTCTAAGAGACCGATAACCTTGTCTAGATGAGCATTGAGCATACTTAGTTTTAATGTATTTTGATATTTACTTGCCAAGCTAATATTTACTTCAAGCGCATAAACTGATTGAATATTTGTTATAAACTAAAATATAATATTCCTAAAAACTATATAAAAGCCTTATACTACTAAAAACTTGTCTTCATTAAAACATCTCGTTCAACTATTGCTTGAAAAACAAACCACAAGTTCAAAGACAAACTAACAAATTAACATACTATTTTCGTAACATTAGTGAGGATTAGTGAGGACTTAAAGCAATAATATATATCTATGCAGTAATATTGTTTATCAGAGCAAGTTTTAATTAAATACATATTAAATATATAAAGGTAGTGGTAGCCCAGTGGTAACGCGCTCGCTTGGAAACCCGAGTGAAGCGGGTTTAAATCCCGAGTCTCGCAGCTCTAATGTATTCATGTGCGAATAATTTCTTACATGATTACAACTTGCCTTACGGTGAAGGAAAACATCGTGAGGAAACCTGCATGTCTGAGAGAACCTAGCAAGTGTTCGAAATACATGTGAAGTCCGCCAACCCGCACTTGGCCAGCGTGGTGGACTATGGCATGACACCCCTCGTATTGAAGGGAGTACCGTAACACTGCTGGCAGTGGGACGTTAAAAAAGGGCTGAATACATAAATGTGTTAATGTTCTGGAAAATTCTAATAAATATATTGAAAACATAATAAAAACTTAAAAAGTAGTTTAACAAAATTAAGCGAGCAAAACAGTAAAAACATAATGAAACATTGTGTTGCACTCATTAAGAGATTCTAGAGCAAAAATTAGTATGGCAATATGTTAATAACCGAAATTATCAGCATGTTGCCATATTTAATTTTTACTGTTTATATTTTTAAACTGGCAACTCATTTACGCTTTAAGGGCTTCCCTCTACCCTGTAATTTTTCACTATAAATACTGTATGATTCAAGCAATCCGATAAAATCTTTAATTCAGGATGTAGGTATAATAATTTTATACATCAATTACGTTAGTATGAGCTATAATTAAAACAACGCAGGTTTCGAATAGAATTCTTAGAATGTTTAAGTCTATTTCGTTGAAAATGGCTTGGTTTTGTAATATTTACATTGTAGCTAACAAACGTCTTGCGTTCTGTAATTAACTAAAGATACATTGTAGCGACCGCTTGACTGATTTATTAACGCCCAGTTTAACAATAAAACCACAAGATCTGAAGGAATCGAATTTTAACACCGTATATCTATTATATTTATTTGGTCCTTTTTTAACGTCACAGGCCACAGGCCCTACGATACGAGGAAGATCGAGACCATAATCCATCACGCTGGCCAAGTACAGATTGTGGGACTTCACGTGTCTTTCGAAAACTTGCTCGGTACTCTCAGACATGTAAGTTTCCTCGAGATTTAAAAAAAAAGTAAAATTACTCTGATTCATATATATTTACTTTTATTATACTACGTAATTATAAAAAAAAAAACATTTTTTCGACGGTAAATAACAATTATTCCTTAATCACATGATTGTTTTTTTTTTATTGACAAAGAATGCAGTGGTACATTATAAAATCATTATATTATATTAATTATAATACTTGATTCATTTATCAATACAATAAAAAAAGTATGTTATAAACTCATAAACGTTATGTAAAAAATCATTTTCCAATTACAACTGTTTACAGCCTAAATAACGGTAAACATGTAACATGTGGGTAAATTGATAACATATAACATGGTTATAAATTAAAAAAAAAACAATGATTGTCGCCGGAAAAAAGGGTTCAGTTGAAAAAAGTACTCGAAGAAAGTAAAGTACTTAGTAGATCTGCACAGTACCTAGAGTCTATATTATAGAACAATTGAAAAACAAAAGCAAATCTATCCCTCGGGAACCGTACATTTTCCGGGATAAAAAGTAATATATGTGCTATTCCAGACTATAATCTATCTCTGTGCCAAATTTCATCCGAATCCGTTGAGCCGTTCTGGCGAGATTGAGTAACAAACCTCCATCCAACTTCCCGCAGATATTTTCGAGATATTTTCCCGCATTTAAAAGTATTCTATATGTTGACCCGAGTAACCAGCATACCATAATCATACCAAACATCAAAATGCTGCGTTCCCAAAGAGACTGACAAAAATTCTATAAACTATAGATTCGGCCTCTGTATCGATAATAATGACTATTTCAATGAAATTTCCAAAAAAAAAAAACATTTAATGTACAGATTCGACTCAGTTAGAATTATATTATATGTTACATAGATAATGAAATATATTATGTTTATTTATTTCATAGACATGAAACACCAAACGGAACGACAGGTGAAAGCTAAGTTTAAAATAAGTAAATCGTTTGCTAATGCAACATGACCAGTGTTTATGTTATTTCATTATGTTATTTTGTAACTTTACTCTTGAGCACTAATAAGAAGTTGCAGCAGTGCGAGACGAAATTACAAAACAAAAATAACAAAAACAATCATACCTCAAGGACCATAATGTTTAAATTGTTATTACATTCGAATTGAATCAAGATTTATGTTTATTTAACTAAAATATGAACGTAAGAAAGAAATTTTTGTAAAATAGTCTACTGTTAACTTAATATAATTTTACTTGTTCATATAAAAATTAGAAGTAATCAACTAGTCTGATTTTTAATTCCACGGAAATATGACAGGTATCATTTTTTGACAATTCAGATATGATAAACCTTTTCTGCTTTGTACTTTTTTAATATAAAATAACAAAAAATATGAAACAGAATTAGATCAAGTAAACTATATGTATAACATTGTAAATAGTCTTTGTTTTGTGCAATCAATGCACGCTAACTATAATGTACATTTTTAATGGTTAAATGAATAAAACAGAGTAAAACAAAATATTTTACAAAGGGGTTTTACTAAAAAAGGCTTGCAACCTATGGATTATGGAATTATTTTTCTATTACAGGGATTCCTGTAATAGAAAAATAATTTCCTTAATAATTATTGTAACTTCAATAATATGATAATAAAAAAAATTACCATTTTAGAGTTATCAATAATTTTTTAAGTCTTACTTTTTCTAATTGAAACCTTAACTTCATGAAAGGTTTATTTTTTTATTTTGCTAAAATGCTTTCCGTTTTTAGTGACAATGTTTCAAAGTTGACAACACTGAAATGTAAGAATTCCGTCGAATTAAAAATCAGACTATAACTGCTTGTGCTCGAATTTGTCATAACTCAAAGTATTATAAGTTAACTTAAAATGTAGGTACAAAGTATTTTTAGCATATTTTGAAAAAAAATAAATAAAATAAACGTGAACAACAGGAAGAAACCAAAACACTAAAGAAAACACGAAAGTATATTTATTATTAGTTATTTAAGAATGCTCATTAGGAATATGAGTTTACCATCATATCCGATCTTTAATTTCTGTCAATCATTAAAACCATCTGTGAAAACTCAAAAAAAACCCATCATCGAATTGACCTGGTAATAATTTTTAATTTGATGCAAAGTAAAAAAAAAGCAATAAAATTGATTGCCGCCATGAAAAAGGTTTTATTATCGACTGCTTTTAAAGAAAATATTGGTTTTTGTTGTTTCAACCAACAATGTGCAGCTTTACTGATGCATCAAAGGCGAATGTTTAGGTATACCCAACTTTTAAACGCACTTATATTACTTTGTTTAGAATTCAAGGTGACCAAAGGACACTTTAAAAGTCATACCGCCGACTGAGTACACACTTTAATTTTTAATCTTGTTTCTTAACAATTATTTGTGCAAATCTGACTCTATTTTTTGTGAGGGCCAATATATCTTACTTATATATAAAAATAATTGAGATGTAATTAATAATTATTACTTGAAATCAAAATTATTTTGTTGATCTCTCGTAAATACGAAGTAGGTACAACATTTATTGTTTTATTATATTATGTAGTTATTTTTCATCGTTCATTGTATTCAAAGTTATTGAGATATGCTCCACTCGTGTAAATGATTAAATATAGTCTATCTGCTAATCTAGAATATATGTAAGATGCAGAATGATGCAGAAGAGTAAGGAGCTTATTTTCAAATTTCACTCAAATCAGTATAAAAGTGAAGTGTTAAGAAACATACTCGTTCACAAAGTATCGTATTGTAATAAAAATTTGATATAGGTACATATGTCACAGTTTATGGTCTACAAAATTATAAATATATTGGCGACTCACCCTCGCTTCGCTCGGGTTCGTCCCTAGCTTGCTTCACGATACAAACTTTTATCACCATTTTCACCCCCTTAAGGGGTGATTTCCGGGATAAAAAGTATCATATGTCCTTCTCAGGGCCTCAAACTATCTTGTTACCAAATTTCATCTAAATCGGTTCCGTACATCCAGAGATTACACCTTACAACGTCACAAACTCACAATCTCACAAACTTTACCTGTTTATAATATTAGTATAGATAAAAATCTTAAGTTATAATAATTAGCATTAACTTATAAGAAAGATATCTATACATATAATAAAATTGTCGAGTCGAATCTGTACATAAAATATTTTTTTGGAAAATCTTATTGAAATAGATATTATTATAGATACTGAGGCCGAATCTATAGTTTTTAGAATTTTTCTTTATCTGTCTGTCTCGTGTACAAAAAAACTCTTTGGCTTTGTTATACAGCTATGTATTTATATAATATACAACGACTCACCCTCGCCACGCTTAGCTTGGGTTTGTCGCTATGTATGTAATTATATAACATTGTTCATACAAAAAAACTAAAATCGCATTAAAAAATGGGGGGTAGGGGGGTGAAAAATACTTTACTGCCTATTCTCATACCTACCAAATAGTACAAAAAAATCATTAAAATCGGTCGAGCCGTTTCGGAGGAGAGCGACCACAAACACCGTGACACGAGATATTTATATATTATTATTACTATCCCCCTATGAAATATAATTTAAAACTACGAGTATCTTAGATTTACCGACTCGTTCAAATAAAATTAAACGTGGTTAAATTAGGCTTACACAGCAAAAAAAGCCCAATAAAATCAACTGAGCCTTGATGGATGCACAACCATGACGCAGAACAAACATTTTTCTATGGTAGAGAAAGTTATTAATAACTACATACATTAAATAAGAACGTAATCACGTTTTTTAACCAAGACACATAAAAAATGACATCGTCTTGTCGTTTTTGCTGACAATTCTCATCGGTAATTAAATAAATCTATATTTATATAATAAAATTGAAATTGTTTTCTTTTGTTAGAATACTCTAATCTTTGGATCTGACTAATCTTTGTGAACAGAACTATCGATTCGGATTTTTTCGCGGATTTATTTTGATTTTTTGTTTCCCGACGTTTCGAATGCCTTACAGCAATGGTGGTCACGGGCGAGACTCTCCGAAAAGATAGAGAATATTCGCGTAAATCTAAGAAAGATCAAGTCTTTTTGCATTTGATAGTCAAATTCTTGGCTAAATTATCTAGATTTACTTTACAACTTTTAGGATCGACACAGATATAAAAACCACGCGAGCGTAACCGCGGGAAAATCTTGTAATTATATATTCTTAAAAATTCTTACCGCATGCATTGTAACACAGTTTATAGAGTAGAAGGAGAGATGGTATAGGGCCAAAGCAGTAGCTCTGTGCACATTGGGATCCCTTGAAGTCATGTAGTTCACTAGCGGTGTGATTGCACCTCTTTTGCCGAATTCTTGGCGATTTTGCGCCCAGTCGCAGCAGTACGCGATTGCCACACCCAGGTTTGCTCTCAGATGATCATCTGTTGTGCTCACTAGGAAGTATTTCAATTTAATTAACCTTTTAACTCGTATATTGAGGATAAATTTTAATATAAATTAAAATTTTAAAATATATTTTTTTAAATTAAAATTTTAATATAAATTTTAATAAATTGAGGATAAACTTTAATATAAATCAGAATTAAATTATGCTCTTATATCACAGACTGTCAAAAATTAAAAAAATAAATAATTCATTTTACATAAAGAATTATTTCATTATTCATCTGTTGAAAACTAAATTATGAAATATTTAACGAATGTCATAATTTGTTAAACTATTCGGTGTGCAAAATATGATAATAAATAAAAAAAACATATTTAAAATGTTAGTAAAAATAAAGCTAAGCATGCATGTTGAAGGCATCATCTATACATCTATACAAATAAAAAAAAATTGAAGTGTTTGTTTGTAATGTCAAAATAACAGCTTTTTACTAAATGCATAATATGAAATTATATACGGTACTTATAAGGAAAACACAATTTTTAAAATTTTTGTCTACCTGTCTGTCTGTTCCGAGTAATCTCTGAAACGGCTGTACTGATTTTGAAGGGACTTTCACTGGAAGATAGCTGATGTTATAGGGAGTAACATAGGCTTTTACTTTAAAAAAAAAAAGGTAGGGTTCCGCTCAAAAAAATTAAATCGTACCTAGAGACGAACCCGAGCGAATCGAGGGTGAGTCGCTAGTTAAGTAAATAAATAATGATGCAAATTTGTTTAGCTCACGGCCGTCACATTACGGAGATTGAAAGCCGTTCTCGATGCAATGCAAATATTATAATGATGGTGGCATTGAATCATACGCTATTTATTTCTACAAGCTTTTTTCTATTTATATAATTTATATTGGACACGTTTGACTTAGCTTGTAGTGACCCTACTTGCTGTGCCAGCGGTCGTGGGTTCGAGTCCTACTGGGGGCATTCATTTGTGTAATGAGCGAATAAAAAAAGCGAACGAATATTTGTACTCCATGTTTGTACTCCAGTCAGTCACTCACTGTTTATATTTATAATATGTATGTATTTAAAGTTATATAATATGCGTAGTGTATCAACTATCTGTTATCCATAACACAAGCCTCGTAACTTACCATGGAACTACATAGATGGCGCTGTGTGTTAATGTCCCAAAATATTTATCAGCTTATTTTTCAATAAAGGTCATGGTTTTGCTAGAAGAGTATAGATAGGAAAGCTACATCCGTAATGCAAGGCTTTAAAATATCTAAGGCTTTAAAAAATCTTTAAAATATCTATACTCTTTTTACGCAAAGATGAAATGATTGATAAGTTTCTTCATTAAGGAACCATCTTTGAACATAAAAAACATAAAATTACTAAAATACTTTTACATCAATTTACGCTTGACGTTTTTCTGTTCCAATTAAGTTTATCATGTAATGTACTTAGATATTTCTTTATTCATTTGTTAAAGAACAGAATTATAATGTAGCGAGACCAACTAACATCATTTCATAATTTCAGTTGCGTACAGAGTAAAGTACAAGTACAAGCGGTTTCACACTTACCGAGTTTCGAAAGTTTTGCAACGACACCGTGGTCGGAGATCACAGCTAAGTTTTCATGATCGCGTGCAATAGTAGCAATCGCAGCACAAACTGCAGACAACACATTATGATCATCCGAATCTAACAAATCGACTGTCAATTCCAAAGCCCCAACAAAAGATCTGACCATTTCCCCTGAATCTGTTGCGTTTTGAACGCAAGGACTTAGTGCGAGCGCTGCATTTGTTTGGACCTTTTTGGAATCATTTTTGAGTAACGACCATATAAGACGCACTCCGTCTAACTCGTCGATCTCCATCATACAGTTTTGTTCTTTTGCACATTCCATCAATACTAGCGGTACGTTTTCTAGTAACGGCTTGTGTGTGTTATTGAGATGATGTACTGAAAAGAAATATTAATTATATGAAAATATAAAGTATTTCTTATAGTTATTAATTTAATTTGTTATCGTATCAATCGTTTATATAACTATCGCGTTGCGAATACATAGATATGTACTTATAACTTTCGCATGACAGCACGCACTATTCAACTAAGTATTTTAATAAAACCGTAATTTTATATAATGATCATAATTAAGATTATAATAATATAATTGCAATAGAACTAAAAAATTTAGATTTACTTATATTATACTTATTAGATTTACTTAGCATTGGAATTCCGCCAGAACTTCGAATCTTATCTCGATTGGGTGGATACTTGGCACATTCTGCCAAAGCTCCTGCTACATTTGTTAAAACCCCATCATTTTCATCATCCAATAAGCTTACAAGTATAGGCACTGCACCGAGGTGATCTAATCTTTTGACACTTGCTTCACTGTTCGCACATTTCCATAAGGCTCCAGTAACAGCGGCCATTAGAGGCTTGTTCGCTCTATTTGTAGAGTCCTGAGCCGCTTCCACCAATAATTCAAGACCTCCAGCTTCACGTATCATATCTCTCGTTATTGCGTCACTAGCGCATTTATACATCGCTAGACTGCAATAGGTCTGTATGAAAACGTAATTTAAGAAGGGCATAGTTTATTCAAATAATAATGAAGCAAACATACGTTCTTTAATAAACTTAAACTTTGCATGTAAATATTTGCCGTTTAGCGCAATGATACTAATTAGTTTTATCTACAATAGCAGAGCCTGCAAATTTTGATTTTAGTTGAATATAATTAGCATCTATTCAACATATAGCCTTTATGTTAAGATGTTTTTATTAAATACTAGCATTGCCCGCGGCTCCGCCCGCGTTCAGATGACCAAAAACTAAATTCTTAGGTGTTACATATTAGTATACTCTTACATTGCAGTTTTTGTATTTTTCCTCAGAAATAAGATATTTTCCCGCGGTAAAAAGTATCCTAGGATCGCGCGCTACATCGCCCGGTTTATATAGCTTGAGCAGGCGGTCGAGCGATGCGGGGCAGAGGGGATGGACTCGCCGTAGGCATCTCAATGCTCGCCAAGCATTAAAAATGTTTCGCTACTAATTACTTCTAACAACGATATCTCAAAAACTATTCATCTGATTGATTTAGTGTAAAGAGCAATTTTAATCTGCATTAAATGACTAAGCTAACTAAAATATTCATTTGGATAAGGATTAATACCGAACTAAAGAAAATAACTTTGAAAATAACGTAATGTTTTTAATTAAAAATGTTAACATAAAAGTGGTTATTGTAAGTCAACCGTAAGAGATAGAGATATGCTATCGCGGACTTTTTTGTAGCATTTTTATAGATTTTGAATTCTCTAGTACATTACTTAACTGTATCTTTGCTAGTTTACGCGGCGTTCGCGTGGAAAGTTCCCATTTGGCGAGATTTTTTGCGACCTCTTCAACATTTGTCGCCGTATTTCAGCTAATTTACATAAAAGCATAATAAATTATATACCTAAACCTTCCTCAAGAATTACTCTTTCTATTGTTGAAAACCGTATAAAAATCCGTTCAGTAGTTTTCGAGTTTATCGCGTACAGACAGACAGGAGGACAGACAGGAGGACAGAAAGACGCGGCCGGGGGACTTATTTTTATAATAAGTATAGATAGATGAATAAAAAAAATAAGATCTAAAAATAGCCTGTAATTGAACACTAATTAACATAGGCGGGTAAAAATATTAAAAAATATTTTTATTTGTTATAATATTTTATTACCTTTAAGTCCTTGTCCTCATTGGCTAAGTGTTTTATCAAATCATCAACCATCTTTTCGGTCTGTATAGCAAGTTGAAAGGAAGTTTCATTAGCACACATCTGTAACAGACCAACTGCAGGCACAGCTACATCTAAGTGAATGGTCTTAAGAATTCTAGCAATCAGAGGTATCATGCCGTACTTTCTCATTGCCTCGCGGTTTCTTTGCGAGGATGACATGGACCATAATGCTTTTGCGCCAGCACGTGCTATATCGAGGAACTGTAACTCGTCTTGATTGAGTTCTTCTCTGGGTGTAACGAGGCACCTATAAACAATATTAAAAAAAAATGATTTTACATGAAACTAAAATTCTCCCGCGACAGATTCGGATGGTACGCGGAGAATAGGTGCATTATTTTTGGACTTTATCCCCAGCATACTTATGATACAGTAATAAAATAGTACTATGTTATATCTAGTTATATGTATATGCATATGTATCTATTCTATTATTTACGTTGAATATCAATCGCTAAATATTTATTCGCCGGGAATTATATTAAGTTCGATTACCCGACGCTGCACGTTGTTACGAATTACTACACCGAATGTTAATATGTATGAATAAGTATTATAAAAACAGGATTTACCTATCCTTAATATCCAACAAATCTATCAGCTTTGGTATTCCACCGAATTTTCTACAGAATTTCCTGCTTTTTCGAATTCTTCCCAAATTAGCTATAGTTTCAGCTGCTAATATTTGTACATCTCTAGCAGGATCTGATAATAGTCCTACTAATAAAGGAATGGCACCCAAATCTGTTACTTTCTTTCTAATTTCTATATTGGGTGTTATATCCTTTAAAACTGCCAAGCCTCCTAGAATACAACACAAATCTCTCGTTTCTAATAAATTAACTAACAGTTCCAATCCACCGATCTCTTGTATTGCTCTTTGATTGACCTCAATAGTTAGGTCGTGGTCTTTTAAGCAAGATAATGCGACCATTGTAGCAGTTTGATTGCCAGCTTTCATATATTTGACTAACTTTTGTATGTGCCAATATTCTGGCGGTATTTCGGATGATTTAATGAGATCAGCCCAATTATCCTCCGATGATGATGTAGATGATGCAGAAGATGCTGAAGTATCTGAACCTTCTGTGACCATCACTATTCGGGGCAAACCAACTGTATCTTGACCTCCATCTACACTATACGTTGATATATTATCACCTTCCGCCATGATTTAAATAAATAATATTCAATTCAATAGAGACAAAATAAAATATTTTTTATAAAAGTTTTAGTTTAAAATTTTTAGTTGAAAGCACACAACTGCAGATCGTCGAATTCGTCTGTCATTTTATCAATACGGTTGCCTAGCAACGCTGTCATAGTTACTTTCTTATACTTTGTACGCATTTATTTTATAGAAAGCAGCCTAAAATTATAAATTCTTTATTTGGAATCCTAATAATTTTATTCTTTATGTTAGTAGGATAATAAATTTATATTAGGTTCTCACGACTCGTACTTTATTGTAAATTAAAATATTAACTATGGAAATGCATATATGTATGTATATTGTATATATATTCTTACAATTAAATCGTGCAGCTGTCGCACCATAATTAAGTTAGCGTAGCGTTAGTAAACCCCAAAAATATTCTTTTTATAATATTAATTTATAATTGTTATAATGTATTAATTAGCATAATAATGAATTACTCATTAAAGTTTTATTTTGCGGTGATTTAAGTATATTTATAACTAGCATTGCCCGCGGCTCCGCCTGCGTTCAGATGACCAAAAACCAAATTCTTAGGTTTTACATATTAGTATACTCTTATAATGCAGTTATTGTATTTTTTCTCAGAAATGAGATATTTTCCCGCGGTAAAAAGTATCCTATGTGTTGACCCGGATAACCAGCTATCACCATACCAAATTTCATCAAAATCCCTCCAGTGGTTTTTCTGTGATGCGGTAACAGACAGACAGACAAAAATTCTAAAAAACTATAGATTCGGCCTCTGTATTGATAATAATGTTTATTTCAATAAGATTTTCCAAAAAGTATTTAATGTACAGATTCGGCTTTGTTAAGTACAATTTTATTATATGTATAGACAATTGATGACGTAACCAACAGGGTTTTTAAATTAATCTTACATTTTTGTTTCAGTTTCGAAGAAGTGTCAGAGATGTATTGAGACCAGAACACAATGATCACTTCTTGCTGAGATGGCTAAGAGGTATTTTTTATTTTGTCTTGCTTTGAATGCTGTTCCTTTTTAAACGCATTATTACCTGAGAACGGTTTTTGTAAAATGTTTTATTACCATATAAAACTATACCTCGGATAAGGTTTTAATAAATAACCCTTATAATGTTAAATAAAATTAAATTAAATGGAACATGAACGAATTAGAGACTGAACCTGACATAAAATACAAATATATGAAAACTAGTTCAACCAAGTGACGCATACCGCACACAAAGATTTTATTACATTATTATATATAAACACTGATACACAATACAATATTTCTAGTGCTTGAACGTAATCGATAAAATACATATATATCGATGAATCAATGAATGACATTTTAGACATTGGTTAGCATAGTCATCATATTTTACATCTTTTAATTTAAAATATCTGTATTTATTTTAATAAATTAAAATAAATGAATTAAAGAGGCAATAATAATGTGTCAAATAATAATATTTTTTTAATTTGGTTTATATAAATACGATGGCATTGATGGCAACATACTGTTGGCCTATAATAATGGTAATGAACAATTGAATATCGGGTGTATATTCCATTAATATATAATAAATATTATTTTGTAAAGATTAAAAAAATATTAAGCTAATTTAATTAAATAAAGTGATTTTGTTGATTCTGTTATTGAATTATTTTAATTGGCAATTGATTGTCTCGGGTAGTTATAAAAATGTGACAATGCCCTAATATTGCTCAGTTATTAATAAACATTTGTGAAATTAGGAAAAAGAAAAAGTGATAGCAAATTGTGAAAAAGTGAGTGTTGGATCGTGAAAGTAAAATAATTAGTGCAAGTGGTAAAGTGTTTTATTACAAATCGCCAACCCAGAAGTTTAGTGCTTAAAAATTATTGTTTGGTTTTCTGTAATTTATGTGTTGAAATAAAATGATCTTTATTATTATTACAATGGTATAATATTCCAAAGTATATAAATGTGGTATAAATAAAATAAAAAAATAGGTACACATACTAATTATAATTTTTGCATTTCTATTTGATTTAGAAAATATTTTTATAAATTTATTGTCATCAGATTGTAGGGTACTGTAATAATAGTATGTTATGTTATTGTACTGTACAAATAACACAATTCGTTCAGTTATTTCGTCAAATATCGATATATTTTTCGACATTGTCAAGCACTAGTCGATGTCAAATGGACTCACTCGACAGTTTTGTCATTTGTTCTGAATGGTATAATCCAGCCATTTTACGATGGTTGTCAGATGTCAACAATACATAGAAATATCGACTATATTTAACATAGTTAGATAATATGACATTTTCTTTTACATTTAATTAAATTTTGTGATAAATAACAATAAATATAATAAAATAATGTATTTACAAGTGAAAAGAAATAGTACTACTTCCGCCGTTATAGTTTTTACACCATTTAACAGAACATTTAGCCATTTTTGGGAGATGCTTTGTTGACAAGTAAGTGCTTGAGACTGACACAAAAAACAAACGACCGAGGCTAAAATTCCCTGGTTACTGACAAGACCGATAAAGGTACGTCCGCTTATATGTCTAGTCCAGTGGTTAATTCGTTCATGAAATGGAATTACAATGAATAACCTGGAATAAATAAAATTACATACGAATAAAGACAATGCTATGAGAATGTGACAGGTAAAAAATGATAAGAGAATATTTTTATTGTTCATGGCTTTGATACTTTAATAGGAAAACTGTAATTACAAATTTATTGCTATTAATAAAAAAAAAAAACAAAATAACCTTTCGATAATATTTTTAAATATTTAAAATTCTTTTCGAAAAAAATGGCCTTGTCTTTTAATGAGAAATGAAGCATTTTTGCCACATTTAAATATTTCTTTTATTATGTGTTTATTATGCATAACAATACAATAATGTTATCAAATATAATATTTTTTGTTATTAAATATATAATTTAAGTATAGTTTTAAAACCATTATATATTTTTCTTGTAAATAAAAAAAAGCGTGTGTGTACTTACGTACGCACGTAAGAAGTTATGCTACTTTGTTTTTTTTAAATAAAAGCACCGACTTCTGATCCGAAAATATCTGATTAGGTATCTATTCTAAATTGAAATCCTCCGTTTAGTTATTTTTTACATTTTATTGCCTGTAAGTCGATTTTTTTTAAGTTTTTATTTTTAGATTTTTAGTGAAGTGTGTCGTAATAATCAGGTCATTTGTAAGAAGAAAGATTTAAATGAATATATTCGATCAAACAATTTATTAAAAATAACAATTTATTGTTGATTTTTTTTAAAATCGCTCGACCGATTTCGATAAAATTTATTTGGGACCAGTCTTCGATATCGATATCTTCGAGTAATCGGTAAACATACATAAAAAATAAAGATTCCGACGTCACGACAAGAAACATTTTTAACGTTCGTAACAGATCATCGAAGTTAATATATTACGTACTTATAGTAAAAGTCATATTAATAAAAAGTACATTTACGATGGTACGAAACTCTTCGTGTGCGAATTCGACTCGCACTTGACCGATTTTTATTCGTTTTTTATAACGCGCCAACTATAACTTCAAAAATTTGTTATATTATTATGTTTTCTGAGTAGAAAAAAAACCACTTTATCATTCCTTAATATGATAACATTTCAAAGCACTTTTTATTCAAGTCAAAAAACATTCAACTCTTGCGAAAATAGATCCCGCGAATCTGTAATTATGAAGTTTTATCTTTTTGTAATGCTCTAAGATTTTATTAAGCACTGGGTTTTTCTTACACAAAATTCCCAAATTAGATTTTAATAGTAGTGATTATTTACGTATAAATACGATTTATTTTATATATTTTGTGTTATCTGAATTAATGAATTTTGGAGAATTCAATAATGACTCAATATCTAATATGTAGTTATGTTTGTATATCAAATCATAGACTTTGTCACTCTTCGATAATTAAAATACAGATGCTATTTAAAAATTAAGTAGATAAAAATAACAAAGTAAACTCTGTTACTGAATAAAAATATGTTATATATATGTATGGTCCTTTCATTTTTACCCGACTGCGGCGATGCCCAAAGGAGGGTTATGCTTATTAATTATTATGTTATAACAATACCATGTTCCTTCGTTAAAGTGTTCTCATCTTTTAGTTCGCTTTTTACGCAGTCGGATTTTATTTTATTTTTTAATTTATTTTTTATCTTAATAGGAACAATCATATTTATTAATTAACTTCTTAATTAATACCTCCTTAGCTACTTCATGTATATATTATCTTCAATGACAATTTTAATTCTTCTTAGATAATTCGTTAAAGAGGCTGTAAACTATCAATCAGTAGCTTTAAATTTGTATTTATTTGGTAAATAAAAAAAACAAAACGAGTATTCGTGGGACATCCGGACGAAGGAAGAAACGAAGTACCTTTTGCTGTCTGCCCTTTGCTCATAATATATCTGGTAACAATAATTGTCACTAGTGGACTATTGTACTAGAGGACTACAAAGACCAAGGAATGTCCATCTACACATATAATATAATTCTAACTGAGTCGAATCTGTACATTAAATATTTTTTGGAAAATCTTATTGAAATAGACATTATTATCGATGCAGAGACCGAATCTATAGTTTTTAGAATTTCTTCAATCAAATCAAATCAATCGAATCAAAAAGTGCTTTGAAATCTGTCTGTCTGTCCGTTCGTCCATCCGTCCGTCCGTCTGTCTCTAGCTCTCATTCGCCAAATGTGCCGAGTAACGTGGGTTAAGAAGCTTCATTCCAATATAATTTGTACAGATAGTATTATTAATTTAACCGTTTAAGCAATGAAACCTGTTTAACGTTGAATGTAGTATGCATTAGAAGTCGAATATAATAATTATATATTTTACTTCGAGTGCCTGTTTCTAGTATTAGATTTCATAAAAAATCCTTATGTGAGTTATAAAATTAAAATTATTTTTATTATTTTTTTCTTCATGTAGGTATTTACTTACCTGTTATCTTTACGATGGTACTCGTATATCCTTTGCAAGTTAGTTAGAAATCATAGAGTGCCGAGGGCACCTCTACAGACTATAAACCTCTCGTTGCTTAGGTATTTAAATTTTCAAAGGTATTTTTAAGAATTTTATAATAGTTCTATTTTTTAATTATTGATATAATGTTTCAGCTAGACAATGGAATCCCGAGGCGGCAGAAAAAATGCTCAGAGATGTAAGTTTTCATTATTTTTCTACAAAATTTGAACTAAATACGTAATTATAGCTGTTCTTACTTAGAACTTAACTCTACACCCCCTATATATATGAAATTTTGGGTGGATGTTTGTTACTCAATCAGGCCAGAACGGCTAAACGGATCTGGATGAAATTTGGCACAGAGATAGATTATAGTCTGGAATAACACATAGGTTACTTCTTATCCCGGGAAAATGTATGGTTCCCGTGGGATAGATATATTTTTATTTTTCTCAGAGCAAGGGACAGTCTATTCCATACTGACCGTTAAACATACCTAGGGATGAACTCAAGCGAAGCGAGGGTGTGTCGCTAGTATCATATAAAATATAGGACTTAACTTAGATGCACAATAGGTACAATATTAGACATTAGTGTCAATTAAACACCTCTAAGATTCCTAGAACGTCGCAAACCGGAAAATCTGATTTGTTATATTTTGTCAACTTTATTTTGCAATATAACAACATTTTTACATTGTAATTTATTACATCTATTGTAACGAGTAGCACTTAAAACCTAGATTTTATGGTTTCGTACGTAAAGATTAAAGGTGACTATAGTATATATAGTCTTAACAAATTACGAAACGGTTGTAATTCTTTGTGATTTTATTGCAATTAGAATCGTGGTGTTGTAGTTTACCTTGAAGTTATCAATTTATTTTAAGCTTGTTTTTGTTAGCTCAAAGAACACTTAGCCTAGATCTGGACTAGGCGTATTAAGGAAAATAAAAGAAGAATTCCACAAAAATATAAATATAAACTAGTTACGTCACGTTTGGCTCAGTTTGTAGTGACACTACTTGCTGTGCCAACGGTCGCGGGTTCGAGTCCCGCTGGGGGCATTCATTTGTGTAATGAGCACGAATGTTTGTACTCTAGTCATGGGTGTTTATATTTATAATATGTATTTAAAGTTATATATTATGTGTAGTGTATCGACTATCTGGTATCCGTAACACAAGCATCGTAGCTTACCATGGAACCATATGGTGATGTGTGTTAATATCCCAACAGAAATATATATATATATATATATATATATATATATATATATATATATATATATATATATATATATATAAATGCCTGAAATACCTAAATGATTAAAAAGGTAGCAGTAGCAACTGTATTGTGAAATATTGAACTTTAATAAACCTTTGCACTTATAAAAAAACTGGTAAAAATGACTTTTTCAAAAGTTCATTTGTATGTTCCAATAATTTTATGTAATGATTAAAGTGTCCATATTTATATTATTTAAAAATTAACCCACATTGAACGGTCGATTAACAACAAAATTAAGTGTTTAATTAATGTGGTCATTGACATAACAACCTTATTATAATATATTATATTGCGCATGCGTAATGTACATATGGATTTTTAATTCTATATGTACATATCATTCTATATATAACATTTAATTTTGACGACACGTTTAGCTGAGTTTAGTGGCCCTACTTGCTGTTCCAGCGGCCGCGGGTTCGAGTCCCGCTGAGGGCATTCATTTGTGTGATGAGCACTGAATAGAAACATGATACTACTACTCCAGTCATGAGTGTTAATATTTATAATATGTATGTATTTAAAGTTATATGTATATGTGTAGTGTATCAACTATCTGGTATCCATTACACAAGCCTCGTAGCTTACCATGGTACTAGATGGCGCTGTGTTAATGTCCTAACATTTTTTTTTAAAGTTAAGTTTGTTTATTCGGAATCTACTGTAGGGATTTCCACCTATAGAAAGAGGGGCTATCTAGAAAGAATATAGGCTAATCTTAATATTTGTGTGTTAAGTCGGAGAAAATCGTCTCATCTAGGGCAGAGCTAAGCCGCTAGTGCTTAGTTAATTAATACAATTACAAACAATTTTTTTATAGTCGATGAAATGGCGCGAAAAATGGGGCGTTGATACTACGCTAGCAAACTGGGAAGCACCTGAGGTTTTAGAAACTCACTTCCCTAGTGGAAGTACCGGCTTCGACAAAGAGGGGTCGCCAGGCAAGTATAGTTATTATAAATATAATATAGACTTATTTATTTAGCATTGAAAGTATACATCATTATATAACTAATATAACCTTTTTATAACTGCCTCGGTGGTGTAGTGGCTAGCATGTACGGCTGCACACCCGGTTGTCCTTTGTTTGTTTCCCGGGTTTGAGTCCCGGGTCGGGCCAAGTTTAGTTATTGAGTCTTTCTGTATAGTAAGCCTCAGTAACAGCCTGGAGTTGAGAAATTGGCGGTGTTTCACCCCCGTGCTGAGGCAGAGCACGCAAAAACCGTCGGTCCTGCGCCTTAACTCTCACTGGTCGTGTCTCGTCATACCGGTGTATGAGAGTGACAAGGAATAGAGAGTGCACTTGTTTCTGCGCGTACACTTGTGCACTATAATATCTCCTGCGCAGTTGGGTAGTCTCGATAAAATTGGCCGCCGTGGCCGGAATCGCTCAGGAGAACATTATATTACATTTCCATGATGACAATTTGAAATAACATTAACAAATTAATAAAATTAAACGGTGTGTCTATTCGTCCGATAAATAATCTATGAATAAAAATTTATTATTTGTCCGACTAATGTTGGTGTGTGATGTTTTGCGACTGCGATTATTTTTGACAATATAAAAAAAAAACCATTCTAAATCATCAAGTTTAGATTTTAAAAAAGGCCAAATCTATATTTAAAATTTAAAATAAGATCGAATAAACTTTAATTAAAAATCTTTATCGCCCGATTGACATTTATCTTGTGTTATTATGATTTATGATGCAGTTATATTCTCCTAATAAAATTATATTTTTAGCTGCGATCATATTTTTAGCTGCGAAGGTTAGAGCGCTTAAAATTTTTTACACATAAAAACTCTTGCACTTAAAAGTCATCTATGATCTAATACATATAATAAAATTGTGAGTCGAATCTGTACATTAAATATTTTTTGGAAAACTTATTGAAATAGTCATTATTATTGATATATTTAATTTATTAATCTTTAGTTTTTAGAATTTTTGTCTGTCTGTCTGTCTGTCTGTCTGGGAAGGCATCACGAGAAAACTACTGGAAAGGTTCTGATGAAATTTGGTATGATGATAGCTAGTTATCCGGGTCAATTTATAGTATACTTTTCACTGCGGGAAAATATCTCTGAGAAATCTTTACTAACCGTTAAAACATAACTAGGTACGCACCCGAGCGGAGTGAGCTAGCTAGTTGGAATCTAAAAGAATAAATTTTCAGCTCGGTAGGTTAAGGTTATTTTTTTATTACATCTAGAAATAAAAATCAATTTTACATTAGAAAACAAAAACATATTCGAAAAACCAACAATAATTGACGATAATTATATCGGACGAATAGCAACCAACAGTCAAAATTAAAATACACATTTAATTTGGTTTTGTACAAATAATTATTAACAGGTGAATATTTATGAACAAATTATCTCAGAATAGTAGTCGGAAAATTCACAAAGATCTTTTTGTTCACACAAATAAAACAGTTTATTTTTATCAAAGTCCCTGTTATTAAAGCAAAGAGTTATAGTCACTATGCCATCCTTCTTAATTATTAAATTTAAAGAAAGAATATTTTACTTAGAAAGAAAAAATAAATCTTACTATTCTTATAACTGTTATTTAATATTTTTATTACCCGCGATGGCCACGGAGACACGTCGCTGAAACTGGCCAACAAAACTAGCAGATCAGTTAACAAATTTATGTAGCTGACTGTACCAAAAATTTGTTGTTTGTTTTTGTTGTTTTATTTTGATTTTTTCTGCTGATTTGATTTCATTAGTTTCATTAGAATGGAAATACCAACGACCCCGTTTCTAGATATATTTTTTTTGATAAAATAATTACTTTTCTCTATATTCGACTCCGAATTTCGTACTCAATATCTCGGACCCGCGTCGACTTAGGAACTTTAAACTTTCTGGAGACCTCCAGTACTTGTCGAGGCACCTATAGAAATAATACCTATAGAAAAGATATTGAGTACGAAATTCGGAGTCAAATATGGAGAAAAGTAATTATTTTATCAAAAAAAATATATCTAGAAACGGGGTCTTTGGTATTTCCATTCTAATCAAATCAAATCAGCGGAAAAAATCAAAATAAAACAACCAAAACAAACAAAAAAAACTTTGGTACAGTCAGCTACATAAATTTGCTAACTGATCTGCTAGTTTTGTTGGCCAGTTTCAGCGACGTACGGAGATGGTATATAATGCGTTTTGGGATATTAGGTGTCTGTGTCTGTTATCATTTTTCTCGGAAACGGCTAGGCCGATTTTGAAGCGGTTTTTTTGCTTTGAATAAGTCTCACATCCCAAAAGTTGTTTATGATAAGAATTATTTGAAATTCTGCTAGTTTATCTTGTATATGTTTATTAGCTTTAACGGTCACAAATAGTTTTTCATTGGTATAAAACAGGATATTTACCTATTATTAATATTTCGACACCCATATATTTACCTACCCGTGACCATGACGGTTGAAATGATGAAATATATTGAATGCAACTCGGTCACCGAAGGTCACGAATGAGAAGTGGACATATCCTGTAAGTATAATATAAACTTCATATATTCTAAAAATTATTGTTTCTAATTACAGTAATAATAGTACCATTTGTCGGTTATGACATTTGGGGACTATTGCATTCGGTTACGAGGAGCGACCTCATTCGAATGATTATCAGGCATCTGGAGAACTACCTAGAAATAGCCAAAAAACAGGCGCAGACACATGGACCTAATGCTTTAACGGTAACAATAATAAATAATTACTACTAATATTATATGTATACGAGAAAATGTATGTGTGTTTATTACATTTTCAAACAAAAACTACTGAACTGATTTGGATGAAACATTACAGTAATATAGCTAGCTTATACATTAGATTTGTGTTGTGTGTTTGTTACTTAATCACGCTAGAACGGCTGAACCAATCTGGATTAAATTTGGCACAACGATAAATTATATTCTGGAATAGCATATAGGCTAATTTTTATCCCGGAAAAATGTACGGTTCCCGTTGGATAGAGGTCTTTTTTTCACTAAGAACGAACCAGAGCGATGCGAGTGTAAGCCCCTAGTAGCTTGCTAAATAGATTAAAAAAAAATTGCGTGGGAAAGCGTAGACTACAGGCTTTTTATCTAACGTAAAGCAAACAACTATATTCATATAAAAAAGTATAATAGATAATAAATATTGATAATAAAATATGAAAAATGTATCATTGTTATCGATCATCATTATAATTATCAATACAAACGCTATGGTAATTAAAAAAACAATTGTGTTTTACATTTGTAATGCATGGTGCATTGGTTCCCATGTAACTTTACATCTCGGCAAAATAAGCGCCCTTTTATACTTCCATTCTTTATACATGGCGCAGGGAAATTGTAAGATCGGATTTTACAATTTCCCTGCGACATATACACTATACAGAATACTTTCTTTTTTTTTTAATTAAAATATCTTAATATACAGGTTACAGTCATATTCGATTTAGAAGGATTCAGCATGCGTCAGTACGCGTGGAAACCTGCCGCTGAATTGGTCTTCACTCTCCTACAAATATATGAAGCCAACTACCCCGAGATATTGAAAACGTGCTTCATTGTGAATGGTGAGTTTTTTTTTATAGACTAAGAAATTTCTATGTTGGTCTTAAGGTAAATAATAATGTTGAAAGTTTTCCAAGTATGTACGTATTTCTTGTATATTTGTATACAAAGTACAAGGTAATAACTTTTTTATATATCGCTTTCTTTCTAAGAAGAAATATCTGATTTTAAGGAATATAGTCCTTAAAGTCAGATATTTCTTCTTACTATATTTTTTTTTTACATAATTGTTTTCATTGACCTCATAAAAATGGATGTCACGTTTGATGGATAGTAAAGTGTTAGTAAAGAACAAAGTTTTCTATATTTATGTCAATATAAAACATATGCTAATATTAAAAATCTCAACATACATTGCAGCTCCAAAGGTATTTTCACTAGCATTTTCCGTGATAAAGAAATTCATGCACGATAACACCATATCAAAGATACGCATATACGGCTCTGATACGAAGAAATGGCAGGCGCAAATACTAGCGGTCATAGAAAAGGATCAGATACCACTACACTATGGGGGCTCTCTGGTAGACGAGAATGGCGATCCCAGGTGCAGTTCAATTGTGAGTTGTTATTATACATATTATAGTCTAAGATCCCAATGTCAACTTCTATTAATTATATGCATTAAATTAACAATTTTTCCCTACTCGAACGTGAACATTGCAAGTGCGATAATTGTTAAATAACAAATCTGACATGGTTTTTCCTTTTTTGGAGCTATTGTTGTTTTTTTTTTTTATACCACGTCGGTGGCAATCAGGCATGCGGTCCGCCTGATGGTAAGCGGTTACCGCAGCCTATGGACGCCTGCAACACCAGGGGCATCACATGCGCGTTGCCGACCCTTTAAAAACCTATTTACTTCCCTTTTGAAGGACCCCATACTGTAGCCCTCTGGGAAAACCTTGGCAGGGAGTTCATTCCACAGCGAGATGGTCCGTGGGAGAAAGTTCCTCTGAAACCGAACTGTACGGGACCATTTGGCCTGCAATGTGTGAGCATGAACTCGCTGTCGATGGCGAGCGGTGCGGTGATAGAAAGTGGCCGTGGGCATCATTTCGAACAATTCTTCGGAACACAACCCATTGTACAAACGATAGAGCACGCATAGGGACGCAAAATCTCTTCTTAGACTTAGGGGCTCTATATGTTTATGTTGATAGGTGTCAGAAGAGATTTCCCTTGGAAAGATTAAAAATTTGTTATTTTTCACTTTGTTATCAAATCATTACAATGTTGTTCCTTCCAAGCATTGATATCTTTTGTATCTAAACTATATATAATAATACGAGTTCACGATCTATGTGATGGACCCCTCACTCTTTTTCCAGGCGAAATATATTTTTTAAACCATAAAATATTAACAAGAAGTTTCAAGAATTCCAGGGGAGTCGTTACCAAACATTTGATCCAGGCTATTTCTTCTTAAAAAACCTCTAGTATGGAGATGCTTTTGGTATAACAATCCTAAATTAAGGGCCATTCATAAAAACTTCACGCTAAAATGCCCTTTTGTTCCATGCATTTTTAAATCCAAATATCTTGGTTGTAATTTACATACGAAATATTCTTACTGTTATATTATTTATATGTTTAGGCTTAATATAGGATACTTTTTGAATACCTATTGGATCCTGACTTTAAATTTCAAAAGCCACTATTTTAATACGAAAATGCTATATATTTAAATACAAAAGTTTTTACGCAACGACATGTAATGTATAATGGTTTGTGTAAAAATACCTTATGAACCGTAAAAAGTGACAAACTATATTTTATTGGTAGCCGAGCAAGTATTCATAATTTTTTCTTAAATTATTCCAGGTAAAACAGGGTGGAAAAGTACCAAAGAAGTTCTATGCGAAGAACGTCCTTGCTGATACTGAAAAAGAGTATACAAAGGTAACGGTCAAGACCGGGGAGAAACATGTCGTCGACCTGATATGTGCGGATGATGAAAGTGTATTGAAGTGAGTATTTATTTCGTTGACCGACTTCAAAAAATGAGGTATCATTTCTTCTGTTCTTTACGTTACACGATATTTTTATATAATAACTAGCAGAATAACTGGTTTCGCTCGCGCTAAAACTACAAAAAAAAACTAAAAAGGTTTTTAAACAAAAACCTTTTTAGTTCTATACAAACTTTTATCATCTATTTTACCCCCTTATGGAATGAATTTCGAGAAACGCTAAAACACATTCTTATTTAATTGAATTGAAGAGCAATAATACCAAGTTTCAAGTAATTCTGATCATAAATTATTTTTTGGGTTGCATTTTATCGTAGGAATGAGATAATCTCCCGCGTTAAAAAGTATGTCACTCTCCAGCCCTCCAACTATCTTTACACAAAAAATCACTCCAATCCGTCATTCCATTTCGACGTGAAAGAAAGACAAACAAACACATTTTCACATTTATATTAGTATGGATTTATTTCCGATTATGATTATGTAATGAAAATGAAATGTTGTTCGTTGATAAGCGCATGACTTGGAAACTGGGCCGATTTGGCGAAATTTTTGTGTTAGAATATGTTTAGTTTGCATAAAGTTTTTAGAAAAATTTCAAAATTTTTTGGATAAATTTCCCGGAAAATTAAGAATTCGGAAGACACTGTAAATGCGTTTTCTTAACAAATTTTGTTTGATTATTGATTACCTACTCGTATTTTGATTGTAAATATATTTTTTTAAATGAGACGATATGTGAAATTCCGATAAAAATTTCGTAATTTAACACCATCGAACATATTTGATGATGGAAACAAAATGTGAATAGTGGAACTTTTCAATGGCTATTAGTAAAGCTTTCTTTAAAGTAATTATATTCGTTTTGACATTCAGTTGTCAGAAACGAGTTTTTTTTTAATTCATTTATATTTTAATGATTAGATGGGAAATCGGCGTAGACAGCCACGATATAAAGTTCTGTATAAAGAAGAGAGATCAAGATGGTAATGAGACTGTGATACATGGGCCCAAGAAGGTTTCTGAAGGTCCAGTCGATGTTGGAGTGCTGCCTGTCACAGGACCTGCTACTTGTAAGTGTTTCAATAAATAAATATATGTTGTAGTGTAGGGATATTGTTAAAGCCATGGAATTTATAATTTCACGAATGAAATTATATATAATTGCCCGGTGTTTTTTTGTTTGTTTGTTTGTTTGTTTGTTTAATCGTGTCCTTTTCTTACAATATCATGGGGCAATGTTAGGTATATTATAATTTGACTAAGCACATTCAGTGATATTGTAATTGTCCTAGTTAAATTGTCAATAGTACCGATACTTCAATATGGTGGGGAGACTTGGTCCGTTCTCATTGGTCGATTTACTGATCGGACATTTTTAAAACTAAAAACGTAAATATTGGGGCATACTCGCAAATACATTTGTTTATATTTAATTCGTATTGTTAATTATTCCTGTGAAATGTCAACTTACTCCATTACAATAATTAAACTTTTAGCAAAATACACAAAACTATGGCCTAGACAAAGATTAATATAACACGTTAAAATTAATAAGTCAATCTAAGTTAATATTTAAAATATGAATGATTATTATCTATCTCTTTCAGATTCGATCATCTTCGACAACAAAAGTTCTTTCTTACGGAGTAAGAAAATATATTACGATGTCCTTATAGCAATTCCTTCGCGAGATCTCAACATCAACGATAGTCCTGATGAAGAAGCTAACTAGTATAGAAATACTTATGTAACAAAAAACTATAATTTTCTATGAAAAATATTCAAATTTTAAGGTAAGGGTAGCTCAATGTATAAAAGTGTTTGATAATACTATTTTATATCACAACTTAAATTACAATTTTCTAACATTTGCACCACAGTCTACTAATCCATACAGTTGTCTAATGAAGGCGTCTAATCTAGACAGGACGTCGGGATGCGCTCCCGATTGTCATAGATCTGTAATATATGTATAAAACTAGCATTGCCCGCGTTCAAATTACCAAAAACCAAATTCTTAGGTTTTACATATTAGTATACTCTTACATTGCAGTTTTTATATTTTTTCTCAGAAATGAGATATTTTTCCGCGGTAAAAAGTATCCTATATGTTGACCCGGATAACCAGTTATCACCATACCAAATTTCATCAAAATCTGTCCAGTGGTTTTTGTGTGATGCGGTAACGGACAGACATAGACAGACAGACATTTTTTTAAAAAAAACTATAGATTCGGCCTCTATATCGATAATGATGTCTATTTCAATAAGATTTTCCAAAAAATATTTAATGTACAGATTCGGCTTAGTTACAATTTTATTATATGTATAGATTCTGAGTCGACATTGTGCATTATTATCGCTATGTATGATGTTTGTCTGTGACCGCATCACGAAAAATTCACTGGACAGATTTTGATGAAATTTGGTATGATAATAGTTATCCGGGTCAACATATAGGATACTTTTTACTGCGAGAAAATATCCCTTTTTACTGCGGGAAAATATCTCATCTCTTGAGAGAAATCTATACTAAACGTTAAAACTTAAAATACTTTTATATGCCAGTCGCGAAACAACTTTGGTTTGTTGAGTTTGTTTTGTTTGGTTGAGAGGTATAATTGTAACTTGCAACGAGATTATTATTACTACAGAGCTTTAATTTCAGAACCTTTCGATTAATATTGGTAGTTTTTGACAGCCCTTGCATTTAACATCTACACGTAAGGCCGGCCTGTATGGACTTTTATATTGTGCAGTTTTTGTAGTTATGTCTGTATACTTATAATATCTTGTAACTGTTAAAAATAAATCTGGTATCTTTGGTGCGGTAGTATTTTTTAAATAGAACATTACAAATATATTATTTTGCATTGTAGAGCATTTAGTTGAATACTTTATGTAGTACAGACCTATAATATTAAAATTTATAAAAAAGAAATGGAAGCGTTAAGATGCTAATATAAATAAGAAAAATAGTATTTTTAAATCAAAAGTTTGTAAAAGAGAGCCTTATAGTAGATATTGCTTTTGAGAGATTTATTGACTAGCTTAAAATTATGTAGGTACCTACTACAATGTCTTCATATTTTTTTAAATTATATTTAAATGATGGCATCGCTTCTGTGCTACATAAAGTATTTATGTATTTACATAGAGTTTACATTTATTAGAACCATAGACATAGAGAGTGGACTGTGTGTTTCTTTGCCAGCCGTCAGCTAAAATGGCGGACAAGTGTAACAAAGACAAAACGAATGTGCGGCCAGAAATCTTCTGTATTAATTGAATTACGAGCATTTCATCATTATATTATTATAATTTTTAATAAATTATAATATTATATTTTTTTTTACATTCCATTTATAAATTAAAATTGGATTAAAATACGGGTTATTGGCACGTCCGCTTTCTCTCTTTCTAGAGTAGTCAATTTCATGACGGTAATGCTCAGTCAGAGTCAGTCCATTCTCTACGTCTACGATTAGAACTAGATTACTATTAGTTAAAAAGGTGAAGCATATTCTGTGATATATGGTGTGGTTATATTGGCTTAGTTAATTTTTGATATTTTTTACATTTTATTTAAAAATAAGCCTTTAAGTTTTAAATAATATTTTTGTATTTAAAAAGAAAAAATACGGCCAGACATTTTTGTTGCAATATATGATTTAAGGCAGTGTTGCCAATGTAAAATGTTATTCCGATATATAGCAAAATTTAATTTAATTTTTAAATAATATTTTATTTTTTATTTTACACAATGATGAAATAGATCTTCCTTAATTATTTTATAAGTTTTCTTCCACATTAATAAGTAATTACGTCAGTACAAAAAACAATTGTATATATTCATTAAGGAATAATGGAAAATGTTAAAATTTCTTTGTAATGTAAATGTATGTAGTGAAAATTTTTAGATATATGTTAAATCACATCTGTTATCATGAAAAGAAGTTATTGTATGATAGATCTCTGCGGAATGTTTCTCTATAGATTTTATATGCACGGCATATGTTTGAAACAAACTTTTGTTACTTTTAAGATTTATTTACGTTTTGTAATAAATAAATTCAGTTTATAATGTGTTTTTGTTTATTTAAAATTAATTATCATTATATTATTATCCAAATAAGTTTCTTATATTTTCCTTCCCTGATGAAGTCGAAGATCTTTCAACCCAATATTTATTAAGAAAATAATCTGACTTTTTGAGAACTATAAAAGATTATTTATTAAAAATAAAAACGAAACTACAAAAGAAAACAATATTGATTCAATTGTAAAAATACTTTATTATGGACTTAAATTACAATTCCATATACATTTAAATACAAATGCAGTACAAAATATGTATATATATATACCGCTAACTTTTTTACCTGCCTTTATACAGCTGACTTCAATTACATTAATATATCTTTAAAACTAGTCTTGTCCCCTGCGAGCATCTGTCTGTTGGTACATGCATGCTTATTTTTAACCCCCGACGCAAAAAGAGGGGTGTTATAAGTTTGACGTCGATGTCTGTCTAAGTGTGTGTGTCTGTCTGTGGCATCGTAGCTCTCAAACGGATGGACCGATTTCCATGCGGTTTTTTCATTTGAAAGCCAGTTTCCTTGCGGTGGTTCTTAGCTATGTTTGGGTAATACAGTACAGCAGTGTAAGATTATCAGCTCTTTTCCAAAATGATGTAAGGCATTTTGGCGTATAATTACTCGATTAAGTGCTACACGCATGCCAGTGTAATCGTTAAATTAATTTAATAAAAATCCCCCTGGATTTTTAATCATTTTTTAATTTATTGACAACTACTGAACGGTTTGCTATTATGATCTGCATCTATGCTAACAATGTAGTGAGTTTTAAATTGCCTTAGCCCTAACAGGCATTGATGTTATTAGTGAATAAAGTCAGCAGGAAAAGTACTTGGTTGCTTTATGTGCATTGATCTTTTAGTATTTACTGTATTTAAATGACAGTAATGTAAGAAAATCATGTACTTTTAATGGTTCTACAAAAAGTCGGCAATACCCATTACTTAATTATTTAATTTTAACAATTTTACTTGCTGTTATTTAAAAAAAAACAATAATTATGACAAATTAGTACAATAGCAGTTTAACTAAAAAACACACCCAATACCTTTTATCTTTGGAAAAAAAAAATAAAAATAGATAATGCTAAATTTCTTATTAATGACTCGTTATTTTATTTACGTTACTGACAATAAGGGCATATACATTAATATACTTATTACGAAGTGATAAAAAATAATGTTTAATCTTCATCTTCAAACAGCATCTGTAACAAGTCTCGTTGCCCGCACTGAGTACCTTCTAATCTTTGGACGCCTTTCCATTTGATTAATGTTGGTATGACCATCAGTTTTGTTCTGCTGTCTGTTCTAAATGGACAAGCTCTATCTTTCCAGCTAAAAATGTAGTAAAGAAATATATGACATATACTATAATTGTATTCAGCCCTTTTTTTAACGTCCCACTGCTAGGCACAGGCCTCCCTTCAATACGAGGGGGATCAGGCCATAGTCCACCACGCTGGGCAAATGCGGGTTGGCGGACTTCGCATGTCTTTTGAAAACTTGCTAGGTTTTTTGAGACACGCAAGTTTCCTCACGATGTGTTCCTTCACCGTAAGGCAAGTGGTAATCATGTTGCAAATGATTCGCACATGGAAATATCAGAGGTGCGAGACCCGGGATTTGAAACCGCTTCACTCGGTTTCCCAAGCGAGCGTTTTACCACTGTTTTTATAATTTTGCTTTGCAATATACTCGTATGAAACATGTATTAGACATACATACATGTTTCATATTTGTTGTGAGTCTGTATATATGTCATGGACTGCATAATACTATGTCCCTACGTCTATTTTTTGTCATCTTTTAGCAGGGCTCGGTACCGGTTGAAAAAAAAAACGGTTTATTTCGGTAATGTAATGGCATGAGGTATCATCACGAATAAAGAAAATTATTTCCAATAAATGTCATAACGTTACATGTATCGATTGGATAATTTAAATTAACAAAAGATGAAAAAAATAGATGCCAAAAAAGTACCTATATTATTGTTTTAAAGTATAATATGTTTAGTGAAGGCGAAAGAAATAATGCGCTCTTAAATTAAATTTGCGTAATTTTACTGATTATTTAAATATCAGCAATAGCCCGGATTAGCCCTGTTCAATTTCTTTGTATGGGATGGGGCATCTGTACTAAGTATAGTATTATGTTATCTGTGCTAATGCTTAATTCATCCCTCGTTCATTTACCGGTTAATCAAAATGAACGGTTTAGTAAGACGAAATAATAATGGTTAAAGGATATTCCTAGAGAAAGGTTGCATTTCGGTTTTGATACCAAAATAAACCGGTTAATTCATTCATAAGTAAGAAACGTATATGTGTCTTTCTACTAGCGATTCACCCTCGCTTCGATTCGTGTTCATCCCTAAACAAAAACAAATCTATCCCACGAAAACCATACATTTTTCCGGGATGGTATATAGCTTAGGCCTATAGCTTTGCTCAATAAATACTATCTAATGCAAAAATAATTTTTCGAATCGGATTAGTAGTTTCTGAGATTAGAGCTCATAAACAAACAAACATACAAACTCTACCTTTTTATAACATTAATATAGATTAAACAATTCACCATCAACAAAGATTTGCTGACACGAACTTACAATTATTGAAAAGAATTTGTACCTATAAATAATAAATCCACTGGCAACGATACAAATCTTTAAAGTATCAGATATACCATTTATCAATGTAATCTTTGTGTGTATTAAACGGAAGATAACCGAGGTTATCTTAATGGTATCTCTATAACGCCAAATTTGTACTGATTATGGCCTTACCATTGCTTTTATCCAAATCTCCAATTTTTGATAAAAAAAAAATATTTACTAACATGTACATATGTTACTATTTACAATTTAACATAACAAAAAGCCTTAAATTAAGAAGTAAATATTTACATTTATTTCCAATACAAAAGATATCAATAAAAATCCGCGTATGTCACATAAAGACCATTTTTGCATTAAAGAAGAGCCTTTCTTTATCTTGCTATAAGGACAAATTTGCTATTCTTTAATACATTATTTTTTATAATAAAAAGAACATAGCATCAACACGATAGTTAAAAATTAACAGCATAGTATCTTTACTTAATGCTTAGTCTATACATATAATAAAATTGTAACAGAGTCGAATTTGTACATCAAATATTTATTGGAAAATCTTATTGAAATAGACATTATTATAGATACAGAGGCCGAATGTACAGGTTTTTAGAATTTTTGTCTGTCTGTCTGTTACCACATGACAGAAAAACCACTTGAGGGATTTTGATGAAATTTAGTATGATGATAGCTGGTTATCCGCGTCAACAAATGGGATACTTTTTACTGCAGGAAAATCTCATCTCTAAGAAATCTATACTAAACGTTAAAACATAAGTAGGGACGAACCAGAGCAAGGGTGAGTCGCTAGTGTATTATTATTTTGGTAATTATGGATTGCAAATGAACAAGAAAATGAAATACTCTGAACTTACTATTCTCGATCACCAACATCCACATAAACAAATATTACACTTTTGTTCAATTCACTCAAGTATGCTTTTAAACCGGGTTCAACTGAAAGTAAAAGAAAATTTTTTTTTTAATAATTCGATTGACTTAGTTTACTAATTATGGGAACATTGTTTATTGTTTTGAGATATTCAAATTTAAATTTTCTTTAATAGCTTCAAAGCGTGCCAGTTGAGCACCGATTACTTCCCCGCTGTCACGTAGAATGGAGATATCCAAATTTAGTACCTTATACATAAATATATAAATAAATTAAACTGAGATGTCTGTTTGAAATGATAAAATAACAGGTTAATTGAAATTAAAAACTATAAGAAAAACACAATTTTTAAAATAATTATGTCTCTTTGTTCCAACTAATCCCTGAAATGGCTGGACTCATTTTGATAGGACTTTCACTGGCAGATAGCTAATGTTATAAGAAGTAACTTGGGCTACTTTTATTATTAAAAAGAATTAAGCTTCTGCTCAAAAAATTAAAACATACTTAAGAACTAAGCACACCCAAGCAAAGCAAGGGTAAGTCACTAGTAACTAATAAAATATCACCTATCACTTCTGAGATTTAATACTTAATACTTCATACATAACCTACTCATTTGACAATATATACACCAACTTCTACCATTTTCTTTTTTACTACCAGTAAATAGAAAATATATGCTCTTCTTAGTTTTTACATTTTCAATATAATTGACAAACTCTTCATAATTATTTACTATATGAATAATCACTTTATGCTTAGGCATGCTTAAAATTATAAATTAATTACAGTGACAAATGTCAGTAGGCTAATATCAATTTGTCAAATTTGTGTAAGTAACATATTCAACTACAAAAAACTGCTGTTTAATTTACCTAAATTCTCACTCACACTTATCTTAGAGAGAATCTTAGAAAATATAATTATCCCTCTAATACTCAATAGAAAATGGTTGTGTTTAGTAGTAAACACTTTGTTATTAATTAGAAGGCAATAAATAACCTTATTGGTATTGAAAATGTTTAAAATACTATTTAAATTACTCAAGTAGATAACAATTGTCATTATCATATTAATTATTATATATGTATAGATATAAATATCATTTTTTTGTGTTGTTAAAAATCTTTTAGTTAGTATAATTCAAAGAAAAACTTAGGAAAAAAAAGTGTTATTTATACCCACCATTAAACGAAACTCTTGTTTAATGGAGAGGATAAATAACACTGTAAGTAATAATTTAAATTAAAATAACGCAAATAATTACCTTCAAGTTTTCCCATAACTTTTACACATGTACATGAAGTAAAATATATACATGAACCAGAATTATAATTTTATATAATAGTGATGAATACGTTTATATGTACAATGCAATTGCTAAAGCAACAATATTAAAAGCGTACCTTCAACACAATCAGGGCACCAACTATTACCATCCGGCAACTTTGAGCCACTGAAGAAGAATATAACTGGTGGACCATTTTGATCAATATTTTCGGTAAATTTCGCAAAATCTTCAAATCCTTTAATATCCACCTGCGTAACCATTTTAAAGAAGCTAATAAAATTTAAAATACCAATTAATGTAGTTATTCTTCTACTAAAGCAGCGTATCACTTGTCTTGTACATAAATGATAAAAGTCAAAAGACAAATGTCAACATGAGTGATGACATGTTGTACTTGATAAAAAAATGACAACTGATAGAATAAATGATAATCACAGACTATAAACATAACTTATGTAACATCATAGAGATATTTACCCATTTCTATGTGTAGCATAGACAAATAATTAAATTATAATAAAAAAATTTTGTACGTGGTTTCTTTATAAAATCAATAATGAGTTTAATGCTCTCTGATTACTAATGAAGTACATTATTATTACTCGATTAAGTTATAAATATAATAGTATAATACTCTGTAAAAAGTATATATTTCACACTATGAAAAAGTCCTTCAATATACTTAATTATAAAGATCGGACATCGAAAGGACCGACGGAATAATTTGTTAATATTACCATACTATGAATTTCTTTAAAAAATAACTGATTTTTTTAATTTAGTTTAAATAAGTATATTAGTATACATTTTTTTTGTATTAGTAGGTATGTTTTTATTAAAAACGTTTTAACATTTATTTTTGCGTAAAACAGAAAAATCAACGGTCATTATGATTGATGACAGTTAGACAAAAAATCGATTTGAAAAGTTTTGTTTATAAGTGAATTGTGAAGTTATTTTATTTTGCCATAGGTATTTTTTTAAAATACCTATCAAAAATGGATTCAACAGTGAAAAATAAATCTATGATGCAACCTAAACCGATAGCAGAATTGTTACCTGAACTGTGTGGTGTGTAAGCTATAATACGTAGTTTTAATAACTGAATGTAATAATGTTTTTATTTAACGAGTAATACAGTCTATGAAATAGGTTATACAACGGTATTGATGATATTTTAGTGCTTATAAAGTGTTTTCTTTTGTATATTACAGGAATAGTCTCGAAAGATACTATTAATGCACACTCCGTTAAGAAGCAACCACAAACAACATTACAGCATTACAAGCCTTTGACTTTGGCAGAATTGCGAGCTGATTTATTAGGTATTAACATTAATAATAATTTTATCATTCACAATTAAAATTGCTTTACTATAACGCCTGTTATACCTTTTTTTCAGCATTAAAACCCCTATCTCCTAGAAGATCTGCACAGCCAGATGCATCCACGAAAAGAAAGATGTGGAACTCCTCAGTAAAGGTCATTAACAAGACAAAAACTCGTACTTCTGATGGACAAATGAAGCATAATTCAGTTAGAAAAGTACTAAACTTTCAAACAAGAGCCAAAGTATATATTTTTTTATTGTATATTATTTATACCCTTTAAAATTTTGGACCTGCGTTTAATATGTAATAAAATATTTTCTTTTACAGCCACAAAATCCAAGAGCAACTATTATGAATGCTGAAACACCTAAATTCCCTAAACCAGAGTTGGGGGCTAAGAAGTCATTGCATATACAAAGTAAGTAAAAACATGATAGGTAATATATAGACAGATGATCTATATATATATATAACACTTTATTGCACAAGAAAATAGTACATTAACATAAAAAAATTAATTATACAATTAAAGAGATGTGCAAAGGCGGCCTTATCACTAAAAGTGATCTCTTACAGGCAACCGATAGTAAAGGATATAAGAAAATAAGTGAGCGGAAAGGTGCATAAAGTGCAAATCATTAAAACTTAATATAAATAAACATACATAAAAATTTACATATATAAAATATTAGTTTTACCATATATATTTTTATTATATATACATAACATACTAAATAAATAAATAATAAAATAATGTCTATATATAAATATATATGCATAAACAAATTACATATTACGGCACTAATGACAGAATAACCCTACTGTGATAGATAGTGTCTTTTGAGACGTTTTTTAAATATGCTCATCGACTTTGACATTCTTATTTCAATTGGAAGCTCATTCCAAAGTCTTACAGTTTTAATGGTGAAAGACTCACCATAAGATTTGGAATGGCTTAGTGGGATTTCGAGTAACCTTTCATTGCGGGAGCGAAGTTGTTGAGCGTGCTGGGAACTATCACCTAGGAATGAAAAACGTTCTTTGAGGTAGGCAGGAGTATTAGGATGGAAGAGGACAGTGTATAGAAGAGAAAGTGAGTGTAAGTTACGTCGATTGTGTACAGTGAGCCATTTCAGTTGTGTCCGATACTGTGTGATGTGATCATACTTCCTTAGTCCAAAAATAAATCTTATTATGAGATCTATATAGGCAGTGTTAGCCCAGTGGTAAATATAAAGCTTGGGAAAGTGAGTGAAGCAGGTTTAAATCCTGGGTCTCCTCTGATATTTCCATGTGTGAATCATTTTCAATACGATTATTACTTATCTTAAAAACATGAAGAAACCTGCATGTCTGAGAGAACCTTACAAGGTTTCAAAAGGCATGTGCAGTTCCCCAACCCACACTTGGTCAGCATAGTGGACTTTTGGTCTGGTCCCCCTTTTATTGAAGGGAGGCTCATGCCCAGCAGTGGAACGTTAAAAAGGGCTGAATACTTATCTATAATATAATATATAAAATCATTAAACTGAGTGATTACTGATACTTACTATAGTCATTTATTAGTATACATAACATATATGGTTCTTTTTTATGCATTATATAAATGTTTTGTTTTTCAGGTAAAACCAATATTAGGATCAGTGGTGTATACCATATACCAGAAACACCAGTGGTTGAAAATAAATTAATAAAAAACAGGCTTATAATGCAAAATCATATTAACAAAGAAAACAGTTCTTATTTATCTAACTTGAACAAAAAGAAAGTTGCGTCTCCTAAACCCTTTCGCAAACCTGTAAGATTACCTATTCCAGACACACCACTTTCTAATATGTCATTTAAATCAAACAGTGATGCGAGTTTCTTACAAAGAGAAAGAGAGATTAATGATATTGAAGAAAAAACTAAAGCATTGACAGAAGAACCAACCTTGGAAAATATAGCTGAAGTATCTCCACCAGTTTCTACCCCTTTCAAAGAATACAGAAATGTTAAAGATTTTTTTAGCCATACTAATGAAAATTCTGTTCTATACAATGATACTATTATGTCTTTTAATAAAGACTCGGAGAACAAAGAAAATAGTAGAGAGGAAAGTGTAATTGTTTCTTTATGTGATCTTCTCAACAAAGCTACAATGAACACGGGCAATACTAGTACTGAACTGCATGATTTATTAGAAGTTGAAAAGCAGACTGAGAACAATATAAGAATGATCGAAAATGCCATAAAAACATTAGAAAATATCAAGGAATCGCAATTCAAATCACTGCAATATGTAAAAAGATTAATTAATGAAAAAAAAGTAAAGAAAACTCTGGAAAATAAAAAGGATACAACACTAGTTACAGTTGTGTGTGAAAATGAAGCAGTAAAAAAACATATCAGTCCCTCAAGAAGCCCTATATTAAGACCTTCAGTTATAAAAACGAAGTCACCTTCATATAAAATACCTAAAAAGAACTTGTGTCTGAGAAAAAAAGTGTTTTGTAAATCAATGCCTGATGTCGCAAATGTGCAAAAAACCCCAGAAAAAAATGATCAAGCTCTCAATATGTACATGCAAATGAAAGAGAAAATGAACTTTCTTAACACTCCATTAGTGAAGCATCGAAATATACAAGCAGTTGATACACCCACTGTGACATCGTACAATTTACAAATGCAACTTGACAAACTGTACAATGCTAGCTAAAAGTCGATAACACTCTAGTTTTGAGTGTGATTCTAATATATGTAATTTACTTGACGCATTACAACTATTTACAATTAATGCACATAAAACTTTATTGACAAATACTAAATTATACTCTTACAGTAATTTATGTGTGCTATGAATGCACATTTTTAAGACTGCAATTGCTAAATTTTATAATATCAAGTCATTACTTGTATATTTGTAACTGGCAACTCATCCTCTCTTCGCTCAGGTTCATGCCTAGTGAAAAACAATTATTAACAAAAACTAATCTACCCCATGGAAACACGGTAAATTTTTCGAGGATAAAAAGTAAGCTATGTGCGATTTCAGTCTATACTCTATCTCTGTGCTTTTCATCCATGTTCGTTCAGCTGTTCTGGCATGAAAGAGTAACAAGTAAACATTCATCCATTCTCACAAACTTTCACATCTATATACATATAATAAAACAGTAATTTACTGAAATCTGTACATGAAATATTTTTTTAAAAACAATTGACTTACAATACAGACCCCAAAATAATCGTTATTAAAACGTGTCTGTGTGCGCGCATTTCACGCAAAAAAACTGAACTGGTTTTAACTAAACTTTATGTAGTGATTACTTATTACTTGTGTCATATAACATAATCCCATTAAATTAATTAATTAAATCCCATAAATGTTATAAATTCGGAAGTTTGGGTGGATGTTTGTTAGTCAATCACGCCAGAACGGCTGAACGGATCTGGATAAAATTTGACACAGAGATAGATACTAACTGTTAAAACGTGCCTAGGGACGAACACGAGCGAAAAGAGGTTTATTCGCTAGTTTATAATATTAGTATGGATATAAATATTTAATAATAACATGTAATTGGGTTAATTTTTTGTACAATTTTTTAATATTGACTTCTTGTAAATTAATTAAAGATATGTGTAAGTATATTAAAATTAAATATTACTAATATATTAACTAATATTTTTATAATCAAACCAAAAAAGCTACTGGTTAGCTAATGTATTAGTTTAATTTTGATTTTCGACGTAATTGTATTATAACAATTCTTGCTTTTAGTTTACTGTAGTTCATAAAATATATGTATTATATTTTGAATATAATTTGTAAATAATCGCAGATTTTATTTTAATAAAAGAAAATAGAACTAAATAACTATTTTATTATCTCCTGATTTTTGACATTATTTCTCCACTAAATATATTTACTACTAGCGACTCACCCTCACTTCGCTCGGGGTTGTCCCTTGGTGATTCTGATTGTTTTACATAATTTATTTATTTACGCACCAATTGAAGTAAAACAAATACAAAATGTTAAATTAAGCCTACCACAATACATTAGTCAAAACCGCACCCAAATTGGTTAAGCCGTTAAGATTAGCGTGCACAAGCGAACAGATGCAAAAAATCTAAAAAGCATTGTTTTGGGTTCTTTTTAGTTAATAAAGACCCCCAATAGTAGTTTTTCACAAACATCTGCCATATACAGACTGCGATTAGTTACATTTTTATCACACGTATAGATTTTTTTACACTTAGCAGTAATTATTTGCATTGAGAAGAAACCCTGTGTCGTGGAGCATGTATATTCTAAATAGTTCTATTCGATTTTACATTCAAGTATAGGATATTGCGCTAATCTACCTGTATGTGTGAGAGAACTAGCGGCTCACCCTCGCTTCGCTCGCGTTCGCCTCTAGAAAATTACAAACAGATCGATCCCACGGGAGCTCTTTAATTTTCTGGGATGAAAAGTATCTAAAATATTAACCGGGGACATAAGATGCAAAATTTCATTTAAATCGGTCCAACAGTTTCGGAGATTAGCCTGTACAAACAGAGAAACAAAAAATTTGAAAAAAACTGGATTTGTTCTATTTCTCTTCTTACATACCCCTGACTCGGTATTTAACATTTTTTTTCTAAGTACAGACATTCGACCTCTACAGCATTAATATATGAATAGATTGGCGTGATTATGGGATAAGGCAAAAAGGCAGAGGCGATAGGTAATCAATAAAAATTTAAACATCGAAATATAATCAAGAGTACTATGCAATCTGTGCATAGTATTAACTGTATGCATAATATTATAAAAATTCTGAGTCAAATCTGTACATTAAATATTTTTTGGAAAATCTTATTGAAAAAGTCATTATTACAGATAGATGCCGAATTTATAGTTTTTAGAATTTTGTCTGTTTGTCTGTCTGGGAATGCGTCGCGAGAAAACCACTGGACAGATTTTGATGAAATTTGGTATAATGATAGCTGGATATCCGAGTCAACATATAGAATACTTTTACTGCGGGAAATTATCTCATCTTTGAGAAACATATAATAAACGTTAAAACGTAAGAGTCGAACCCGAGTCCCGAGCCCAGCGAGGGTGAGTCGTTAGTACTAAATATTTTCGCATATATTTTAGTATATATTTTTATTGCGTCCCTATGTGTGCTCTATCGTTTGTACAATGGGTTGTGTTCCGAAGAATTGTTCGAAATGATGCCCACGGCCACTTTCTATCACCGCACCGCTCGCCATCGACAGCGAGTTCATGCTCACACATTGCAGCCCAAATGGTCCCGTACAGTTCGGTTTCAGAGGAACTTTCTCCCACGGACCATCTCGCTGTGGAATGAACTCCCTGCCGAGGTTTTCCCAGAGGGCTACAGTATGGGGTCCTTCAAAAGGGGAGTAAATAGGTTCAAGGGTCGGCAACGCGCATGTGATGCCCCTGGTGTTGCAGGCGTCCATAGGCTGCGGTAACCGCTTACCATCAGGCGGGCCGCATGCCTGATTGCCACCGACGTGGTATAAAAAAAAAATAATTACATGCTGAATGTAATTGCTACACAGCATTTCCACTTCTGTATTATTATTTATTTTATACAATAATTAATTTTAGATGGTGGCACTGAATAGCTGACGTCATTTGTTTTGCCAGGTATAATGGGGAAGAATTTTGCCTTTTTCTCCCACCAGATGTTGCGACCACTATAGCCCTCAATATCTATATTGTAAAGCTCTAAAGCGTGATGGAATTATTTAAAATTTAATTAAAATAATAAAGAAATTGTGGCCTTGAGCATTAAGACAACCAAAATTGGGAGGTGAATATTTTTTTCATTTTTTTGTACTTTTTTACATATTGATTACATAGTTTCATACAAACTTGCATCCCCCATTTTACCCCCTTATGGGATTGAATTTCGAAAAATCCTAAAACACTTATTTATTTAATTGTATTGAAGAGCATTAAGACCAAGCTTCAAGTAGTTCTGATCATAAATAATTCTTTGCCCATAAATACTTTGTTATCCCCTTTTACCCCTTAAAGTGATAAATTTCAAAAAAAGTCAAATAAATATATTTCGTATTTTGTATCTTAAAGATAAACACCACTTTCTGTGTATTTTTTACATTAAGAATGACAGTTTCATAGAATCATTAATCTCTTATTTTACCTACTTAGGGAATGAATTTTGAAAAAAAAATCTTATCGGATGTCCACATCGTATAAAGAGTACGTCCTTCAAATTTCGCGTTTCTACGACCAGTGTTTTAGGCAGTGTGTTGATCCATCAATCAGTCGGACCACTGCAGTATGCATGTCTTCTACTCAATTCTTCTTTCAGCTGGTCTATCTTTCAAGTACAATACATTGCACAGGTAAGATACGAACAGAATAGAAGCAAAAATAGCAAGTATACAAAAGATATAATAATAAATTGCTTAACCTGTCTGAATGTAAATAGGCAATACGTGTGGCGTCCTCCTTTGGAGAAATCTTCTCCATTTTAAGTTGGTAAATAGGTACCTATTTGTTATCCAAAGTTGTTATCATTTCAAATGACATTGACATTTGATGTCAACTTTTAGATAGTGGTAGTTTAGTTTTTATTTTAATTTTATTACTTTATTTTGCAAATAAGTAATCCATTGATAATTGATAGCGTTATCAATTTATACATTAACGATTAATGCTATTACCTTCTCTTTAAAAGAGATAAATTTAAGAGAATTGCGAAGTGTAGTGTGTACTTTTAGTGTAGAAAAAGTTGTAGATAAATTTGAAAATGGCATTATCAAAGCCTATTATGAATTTTGTAGCTTCGTATATACAAAATTTATATTTGCATCCTATTAAAACAAAGTCTATTACCAGGTAGGTAATTATACTATAACCATATACTAATACTCAATGATTATTAAAATTCATTCTGAAAGTACAAAGTTCAAAAGTCAGTCAAAATATAGAACAAAATATTTCACAGTTGTGTCGTCGGCACCGCTGGAAGTATCGCATCACAATTAGTAGCTGGTGAAAAAATAAGATTGGATCCTATTTTAGCATTTGGTTTATATGGGTGAGTTCACATATTTTTATGATGTATGTATATTAATCCATTACATGTAATTAAAATAGCTAAATTATGGTTTTTTTATTCAGGTTACTATTTGGTGGGACCATACCCCACTACTTCTATGACTTTGTAGAAAGAGTTTTTCCACATGAGACAACAGCGTTCCCGTTAGCTAAGAAACTTCTATTTGAACGACTAATCTTTGCACCATTGATGCAAGCTTTTTCTCTATACACTTTAGCAAGACTTGAAGGCAAGAACCATGTAGCTGCATTAAAACAATTGAATGCTCTATATTGCACTGTCTTGGAAGCAAATTGGAAATGGCTTACATTGTTTCAGATTATCAACTTGGCATTTATCCCACCCATAGTAAGTAACCCATTTTATTAAGAAAAATTAAGTAATGCAAAAATATCTTTTCATATCATAGCTAGTGGTTCTAGAGATCAAAACTTTTAAACAAACAAAAAGAATCTGTTCAAGACTATATATTAGTATAGATACTTTTTTTGATACTATAATTAAGTTTTAATACATATTTGGAAATGATATTTGGAAAAATCTTTTTTGAATACAAATAATTTAATTTTTACTACTGCTAAAAATAAATATTATGTAATTTTCTTTTAAATGAGAAAGTATTTATTTTTATCATAATTTTTCCCTATTATGTCATGTAATTGCATATTATTTTTTCCTTATTCCAGCTCCGAGTGTTGTTCATGAATTTTGTTGGCTTTGGTTGGGCCATGTTTCTTGCTTCCAAGAGACGGCAACAAAGCCAGAAGAAGGAATAAAACAAAATATACAACAATAAACATATTTTGCCAATGTGGTGATGGATAAGTTTTACATTGGTAATGAATATTCTAGGTTACTTATCTGATGGGATCTTGAATTTTATTATATTATTCTGTGTAATATAAGAATATTTTGTTTAATATGGCTTGTATTACATTTATAAGTATTTAATTATGTTTAAAAAACTTGCATAAATAAAATCACAATAATATATTTTATACTATAATATTTGTGAAGTCAGCCAACCCGCACTTGGCCAGCGTGGTGGACTATTACCTGATCCCCCTCTTATTAAAGGGAGGCCTGTGCCCAGCAATGGGACGTTAAAAAGGGCTGAATACATACATACAATATATTTTCATATACATTGTTAATTTTTAAATAGAAGGAAAATGAGTGATATTTTGTAACATTGAAACATTTACATTCCACTTTTGCCAACATTGTTAAGGAAATGGAGAGAAATACTTGTTGTATATTAGATACTTTATTCAACAACAGCAAAAACTTATGAAAATTTGTATCTTACTGCTTGTATAATAATGGCTGAAGATCAGATTGATTGTTAAACATAAGATTGGTCTATTTTTACAATTTTTACCTTTATAAATAAATTTATTTTTTACTAAACATGACTTTTTATTCTAATATCGTCATTTCCAATTATTGCTCTGGTAACTTGAATAATAAGTTTCTTATATTTATATTAAATTATAACTTACGTTATCTAAGAGTAATGTATTAAAATGCAACGTCACACTTATTATCAGCATCTTAAACTGTAAACATGATTTGGTTATAAATATTTTTCTCAAATAAATTAAAAACAACATAAAATAATATAATTACGAGTCCAAACGCAAAATAATAACTGGAATTGTTGATTTAACAGCCCAATAATTAATAATAAGTTATTTGAAATTGTAAAAAATATAACAAAATAAAATTAAGCCAATAAATACAATTAAAAATTTTGGAGATGTCACCGAAATGGGTAGGTTCTTACAAATAAATTATTATTTTGACGATGCTTACTTATAACCATTTCATAATAAATAATATCAATGTTTTTTAATTTATAATATCAGCGTTAAGTTTAAATTTATTCAAAAATGACTAGAAATATTTCAAAATAAAATAATGTAAATATGATATTTTACAATAAATATATTGCACATTATCCTAAAATGTAAAATATCAAATTACAATAAGTACCTACTAATTAAATAAGTTATAAAAACTCATTTGAAAATAAATTATCAACAAAAGTAAAAAAATAAAAATAAATAAAACGAAAACTTGTACTTTTCTGTTTTTGACTAGAATACATTTCCATTTCTTTTTAATCAGAGTATTATAATATAAAGTAAAATAAGTGAACTTATTTACACAAAACTTTGTATATAAATCAGTTAAAAGGTGACTAGAGAATTTCTAATTTCGAAATATTAAATTTATCTACTTAAAACTAAAATAAATAATTAGTCACAAACAATAATTATCTTTGCATATGTATTTCATATTTGTAAGTATTTGTATTTGGCTACCATATTTTAAATGTTTTTACCAAATATTTATATATTATATTGATTTATATATTATATAAATGTTTGACATATTTATAATAATTACTATTTGAACATTTGTAGATGTGAATTCGTAGAGCTACTTCGAGAAACAAATCAATATCATACATAATATATTATGGTAGCCGCTAAACAAAGTAAACTGGGCAGCTTACTTCTTCATAGTTTACTACAAATTTGACTAAAATTCAATTATTGCATTAAAACCATAAACTTTGACATTAAAGTAAATTAGTTACAATTAATATTACATTTGGATAATTAAAATAAAAAAAGCGATAAAAACTGATTCTACTGTGTGTAGGCTGCCTTATCGTCATAATTATTTGTCTATGGTTTATAAATTTTTTTTAATCACGTTCAGGTCTAGGGCTTCTAGACCAACTTCTTGGCGAAGATGCACTGCTGTAGTAACTCCCGGTGGAAGGTGTAGACGGAGTCGGTCGGCGGTAGGGAATCGGTCGTTTTCGAGCACTGTTATTTTGTTAGTAATGTTATTAGTGTTTTAGTATGTTATGGATGAAATGGTTAAAACTTGCGACATTCAAATAAGACAAGCTCAAATATTTTTTGTGTAATTAGCAACACTAATGTAGAAATTTGGATTACTCTATGAATATAAAGGTATTTTAGTATCTGTTCATTATGTTTTTTTTGTAAATATTAATTTTAATATATTCATATTAGAAAGGAAACTTTAATATTATTTTATTAAACATTACTAAATCCTTCATGCACGTTAAATTAAAAAAAAAGATATATGTAATTAAAATATGACTAAAGCTTGCCTTTAAAGTTTAACATGCTCTATTAACTTAAAACGTGATCTGTAGCAAAAAATGTCTACCATGCAAAAAAAAGGAAATGAAAACAAAATAATAATTTACAATATACTTTAATGTGATAACACAAAATTGAAACAAAAACACACTTAAAATGTCCTTATACATAGCACTTCTAGATCTGGCGTCACTCGTATGGATAAAAATTGCAATAATCTATACATTAAATTCATCTTCTCCGATACTTGTATTTCTTTGACGTATACGTTAGATCTATTATGGGTGCGCTACGGAAGAAAAACAAAATTATTTACTATTTGGGCGATTCAATGTTTATTATGAATTTTACTTTACTTTTAGATTTACTATTAAATTAATAATTATCTAATTTTATTGAGATCAGAAAGAATGTATTAACAAAAAAAGTAAAAATTTGCCTTTGAAATACATATTATCAAAGTAATTTAGAAAATTGGATTCTGTGACAAAGTCAATGTCAATATATCAAACCCTGGTTAGTATTCAATCAGTGTTAACCATAAAACTAAAACAGAAGCTTAAAAAAAAATCGATGGAAAATTTTAATTATTAGTTTGCAAATTAATATGACCGATAACAACAATTACTATATTTTTTCCATAATATAACCTTTTGTGAATCATGATTTTTAGAAAGAATAAGAAACTGCATATAGTTGACGAATATATATTAAAAAAAAGTAATTTATGGGAACAATACATATAACTTAAGCTACAACTAGCACTTCACTATTTGGAGCTACTACTTGTGTCTTCAGAACTCGTGCTAGACTTTCGTGACTTTTTTCTACAAAAAAAAAAAGAAAAAATGTAACAATAGCAAAAAAATAAAATAATGGCATATAAGCATTTGTTATTTTTAAATTTTGGTGTTGCAATAGTTAAGGATAATGGAATACAACCATATAGGTTTAATATTTTTTTTAAATACCACATACTTATATGATGATAAAAATAAAAATTAAGCCCACTATTGAATAACTATAGACAAGCGGCACACAATGTTAAAACAATATCAAACTGCATTTGTATCGACATTTTATGTAAAATGTCATCAACTATATACACATCCGAATAAAGTGCTTTTGGTGTTTGTGTCGTAAGCTTATTTTTAAATGTTATTTAAAACAACGAAACAGATCCTGTATATTAATGTTACGGGCAACGTTATAAAAAGAATAATCCCGAAATAATAAATAGCCCCAATATTAGATAGAAAAAAAAAAAAAACAACAAATATTTAACACATAAACAATCAAACGTCAAGCGGCCATATTAGAAAACAACAACAACGGCCATCTCGACAGATGTCAAAGTCAACGTCAGGCGGCCATGTTGGTGCATATGTCAAACGTCAAAAGCACGCGCGTGACGTGTGTCATGTGTCACTGGTACCTCGTGATGCGCCTCCTGTCTAGGAAGCTGGGCGAGCCCGCGCGCCGCGGTATGGACGGCGAGCGAGACCGCGACGCGCTCGATCTACGGTAATCGGCGTACACGCCCGTCATTGTTCTGTTACGTATTCATATATGCATGCATCGCGTTTTTATCGTTCGGGAAACAGGTGAAACAATTCATTTGTTAGATTTTAATGTTTATGTATTACATAAATAAATGTAAAAGAAGTTTTGAATTACGAACAGGGATTTTCACTTTAACGGTTGGTATTATAAAATAAAATTATTGTGTTCATTTCAGAATCGCTAAAAATCCATATTCATAATATAAATTCTTATTAATTTCAATAGTTTTAAACATACCTTGAAGAACGCGTAGACCGAGATGAGCTACGGGATGATCTAGACGAGCTTCGGCTGCTGTATGAGCTGGAACGACTTGACCGGGACCGCCTGGGAAATAATTTACACGTATTTAGTCCAAAGACAAATGACATCAGTTCAATAAGTTCACCTGAACATTGTACAATTATATATAAAAACAATATAATATATTTAATATAGTCAAATTTAATAAATTATTCTTGTTACAGCACAATAAAATAGTTATCCAAAAGGCCTTAACATAATAGATAATTTCCGTTTAAAATGTTACCAAGTATGTTTTTTTAACTTTATTATTACTGCCCACAATATTTAATCAAATATTAGTTATATTTACCTTGAAGACGAGTAAGATCGAGATCGCGAACGTGTCGATCTAGATCGTGACCGCGATCTGGACCTAGACCGTGACCGTGACCGGGATGACTTGCCTCGCGATCGTGACCGGGACTTCGATCGTGTTTGTGACCGACGGGACGTCGATCGAGACCAACTTCGTCTCGATCCACTCCTATCTCTCTTCTTGACTTCAGGCGAACTCTCCACATTCACTGGACTATCCTTTTTAGGAGTTTCCACTTTCTTGGGACTTTTGGTAACTATTGGAGATTTTTCTTTCTCAACTACAACTATTGGACTATCGCTCTTAGAGGTAACTTCGTCTAGAATAATTTCATGCGAAACGGAGACTTGGGATGTTGATGGACCAGCTTTTACAGGACATGGATTCAGCTTCTCGTTTCTCTTTTTTTCTAACGTCGCTCTTGCCATTTGAGCTAGATTTTCCTTTAATTTATTCAACTCTTTTAAATCCAAGTCATCTTGCCGAGCCCTGTCATGTATTTTTAGAAAGTCATCCTCAGAGTCGTCGTTCTCACTCGAGGAACTTCTCATACAAACCGCCTTGGGTTTGTATTTATCCGGTACATCTTTGTTTTTCCTCTTTTTAGGTTGAAGATCTGATGGTGATTTGATGTATTTCCTTTTATCTTTTTCTGGTAATTTTTCTATAATATCGCGATATCTCTCAGGACTTCGACGAGCTGGTGAGTAGCTGAGACTGGATGTACTGCGACTGCGATCTTTATGAGATTCTTTCCGACTTCTTTCTCTATCGCTTTTGTCTCTCTCGCTTTTATCTTTTTGCTCTGGTCGAGGAGATAGAGTTCGCCTCTCTGAACTCTTCTTAGACTTTATGTTTGGCGTGCTGCTCTTTTGCTTTTCTTTCTTCGAGTTTTTACGATCTGGCGAGGAAGATTTTGTTTTGCTCCGTGACTTTCTACGTCGCTGTCTATCTTCAGGTGTGGGTGATTTTCTTTTCGATTTGCTTTTTTCTCTCATGTCTTCGACAGGTTTAGCACTCGGTTTGTTACTATCTTTTCTTGAAACAGGTCTCCGTTCTGGCGATTCATTTCTATCAGACTTTGTCGGTCTCTCTTGAGACCTTGAGGGGCTCCGTCTTCTTTTACCTTTTATTGGAGATTCATTCCTTTCTTTGTTATATCTTGTTTTATTGTTAGCTAACTTGTCTGTTTGCTTTTTCGGAGCTTCTGTCTCAGATTCTGAAGATTCCGGTCTGAAATTCTTGTAATATCTCTCTGGTTCTCTTCTCGAGTCTCTTTTAGGCTTGTAGGCTGGAGAGCGTTCCCTATATTCTTTGGAAGGCTCAGACCTATCCCTAGGCATGCTATTCTTTCTTCGCCTAGATTCGTAGCTTTCTTTATAATATCTCTCACTGTCAGTTCTATTACGTTTGTCATATTCATCCTCATTTCTTCTGTACTCTTCTTGACGTTTACTTCTGTAGTCGGGTGATTCACTTCTCCTTGGTCTTTTACTTTCTTTATATTGCCGTACGTCATCTTTAGGTTTTTCTATTCTGTTATAGTAAGTTTCTTCACGTTTTTTGGCAGGAGAGGGACTTTTTCGTCGTCTTTTTTCAGGAATAGGCGACTCGCTGGTTTGTCGTCTCCTTTTCTCATATTTTCTTGACGTTGGTTCTTCTGCGTCGGATTGTGACCGAGATCTTTGTCGATCATGTTTAGATTTAGACGCTTTTGGTCTTTCAGCATCTCTGGAAGGCTCTCTCCTTTCCTTGCTTACAAACGACTTTTGCTTGTACGGCGAAGGTTTACGTTTCTCCCTTCTATATTCTGGGGGTGACTTTCTATCTACTGACCGTCTGTCTTCATCTCTACGCCTGACAAAATCGTTTTGCCTTGAATTTCTAATTGAATCATCATATCTATGATTGCGCTCTTCACGGTCTCTGTTCTTTTTACGAAAATCATTTTCCTGCTGCTCTATTGGACGATTCACCTGCTTTTCTTTAACTTGTTTTGCTGGGGAGCTGAAAATAATCATAAATAAAATTTCATTTTTCTTTATTATCTCGGTAAAAATATGGAAATTAAAAAAAAAATTTAGAATATTTATCATTATATAATAAAATAATTAAAACCTATTTGTTATAAAATCTAAATTCTTTCTTTGAACTATTTGAAAAAAAATTGAATTCAACTATTTGAAAAAAATAGTGCAAAACAACAAATAAATAAAAATATAATAAAATCTCGTACCTTTCACGGCTGGATGGCGCACTGCTGGCTCGTCGTCTGCTACTCGACTTTTTCTGTTTAAAAATCAATATAAACACATGAAAATCTGACTGAAGCGAGTTGGCAATAACACCAGTGCCAATACAAGAAGACTAGTGGTTATGGCAACTAAAATATATTTACTAAAACAAAGGGAAACCCCTCACATCACACACACCGTACGTGAATGAAGAGTTTCATTAAAAATAAAACAATTTATACACATGCACTTCTATATGGAATCAGATAAAATAAATTTAAGGCTTTAACTTAAAACTCTTTGTTGATATAAAAAGCTACTCACGAAAGCAAGTATTTATATAAAATTTATAATGGACGAATTGTTAGTTCTTTTTGTACTGTTGCATTATGTTTATATAACAAAAATGTATCCATAACACTCTCGACGATGAGTTAATCTAACAAATATTGTATAAAAATAAAATAATAATGATAATAATAAAGGACTTGGCACTAGTGCGTGTACTCCATTTTACACAATATTTTCTAATTTCAATAACGAATTACAATGTATTATTAGTATTTTAATATACGTAAATACATAAATATATGTAGTACACAAAATCAAATGTAATATAGCATATTAAGACGTACCTTATTTAACAAACGGTGGTGGTATTGTATACCATTTAAACATGTGGACAGGATCCTTAATTAGTTTTGAGTCAATGAGAAGAGGGAGAATGTTATGGATTAGTTACATTTTCATAAACAATCAATCTGGACATTAAAACAATGTGCGATACAAAAACGTGCTTATATCCGGCACGAAGGACCAAATAACATTGCGCATTAAACGCGAACAAGCGACACATAGAAAGAACGTTATAACGCAGCCGTTAATATTTATTAACATTTCACGAACCATTATATAAGATATAAGAATGAAGCACGTTTTTCCAATACACATAGGCATAACGCGATAATTAGCGATACCACCATCTGTTTTAAAGTACTACAAAACCATGCAATCGAAAACTGTGCACAAATTAAGACCCTGACAATCGCCCATATTGTAAATCTTAAGTTAGTCACAAATGTACTTCAAAATGCAAATACCAAATTTAAACACGAATTATATTTTAGTTTTCACCTAACAGTGTTCTTACTGAGTGTTATTGTTTTGTGATATACTTACAGTATACTTTATTTCTTCAGATAAAGATGGCTATCCTATGAAATGATGCACAGTTAAACAGATAATTTTTACTGTCTATTTCTTGTATTTACAGAAAGAAAAATTAAAACAAAATAACAAAAAATGAAGTAAGACAAGAACCACGATATAGTATAAAACACGATAAAGTAATATTTGGCCCATTTAAATGTTACCCGTTTAATTCAACATGTGGGTACTTAGCAATAATAGTCAAAGCTGGGAATAGAAGGGTTTGTAATGCAAAATAAAATAGTGACATCTACAATATCACAGCTTATTAACGAATGCAGAAAAAACAGGGATGTGTTTAGATCATTGTATTCGATTATATTTATAATTTTCATATTCGCACGCAAAGGATTGTGCCAAATTATTTTTCAAGATCAAAAAATTAAGCAGTGTGCTATATTGGCAGTTTAAATTATTTCTAAGGGACATTCTGAGTAAGGTGAAAGGTCAGTGTAGTGTTGTAAAAATTCCCCTTTAAAAAAAAAACAATTTTATCAATTTTAACACTCATACACAACCCTTAGCCCGTCACTACCCGAAAAAAAAATTAAAAGACAGTAATTACTATGATTCGTACTCAAAATTCAAAGATTATGTCTCAAATTAAAAAAGAAAAAGAAGAGGAAAAAGTTACATAAACATCTATCCGAAGAAATCTCATAAATTAATTTGGCAGAAGCGTTTACGATCTTCGATATAGACTTAGTTTATTTATATTGGCTCAATCTTGGAAAGTTGTTCAAACAAAAAAGTTTCTATATATAAAATATTGAAGAGTAAATAAATTTTAGTCAAACACAATCTTTGAATAATCCAGACCTACTTTCAAACGGCTATATTTAGGCGTTTCGAGTAAATTTCATCGAGTATTTACCTTTTTTTTCTTTTGACGTTCATCTTCCGAGCTCGAGTCGCTGTCTTCGGAACTGCTAGAGCTTTCTGTGTTCGGTGACTTGGATCGTTTCTTCTTTTTCTTGCTAGATTCTTGTCTGAGGAAAACAGGGTTTGAATTTAAAAAATATATAATACCATTATATGTACATATATTATTAATTCCTTAAATACTGTTATTAAGACGTATAATGTTTACTTAAAACCAGTTAAACTTAGCATTACGTTATATTCCCTCCACGACCTTGGACACGCCGGCGTTACGTATACAATAGATTTACCTGGAGGTGATATTTAATTTTGAGCACTGATAAAATATTATAAAGAGGCAAGAGTTTGTTTGTTTCTTTGTTTGAATGCGCTAATCTCAGAAACTAATGCGATTTGAAAAAATCTTTTTGCATTTGATAGCCCGTTTATTGAGGAAGACTATGGGCCATATATCATCATGCTACTATCCAAGGAAGCGGAGCAGTAATCATAAATGTCAACAAAACGGGCAAACATCCATACATTATTGTAAAGGGAAGGAAGAGTTTGTCTGCTTGTATTTTGAACGCGGGCGAGGCCGCGGGTTCTGCCAGTTATGTATATTTTATAAATATTAACTACACTTTAATATTATATGTATACAATTTTATATATTTAATATTATATATATTAGAAATTTTAACCTGCCACAATTATAACAATAAATACTTAATTTCGAAACTGTGATCTTTAAATATTACCATCAGAAAATGCAGCTGTGAACATTACTTACCGTGACGAGGCGGCATTGACCGAATATAGTGTTGTATTATTCGTAATATTACTTGTGTATTAATAATAATTACTGCTTTATAATAAGTTTGAGTCATAATTCGTAACTAATTTTTTATCAAATACTTATAAAAGGATATAAATAAAGTTATATAAAACACTGGTATTACACCAACGTAAATTTCCAACAGTTAAAAGTAAAACAAAATTATATGTATAAAAATAAAAGTATAAGTATGTATATATAAGATTACTAAATCTATACATACTCGTATAATAAAATTCTGAGTCGAATCTCTACATTAAATATTTTTTAGAAAAATCTTATTGAAATATTCATTATTATTGACACAGAGGCCGAATCTATAGTTTTTAGAATTTTTGTCTGTCTGTCTGTTTGGGAACGTATCACGAGAAAAGCACTGGACAGATTTTGATGGAATTTGGTAAGATGATAGCTGATTATCCAGGTCAATATATGGGATACTTTTTACGGCGGGAAAATATTTCATCTCTGAGAAATCAATAACCCGAGTGGAGTGAGGGTGAGTCGCTAATAGAAAATAAAAAAAAAGAGATAATAAATCATAATATATCTCCACGTGTTGTGTAGTAAACCGCAAAATTCACATATCATAAAAATAAAATGTAATGTGCGAAAACTATAGAGCAATAATATAAAACATAATAAATAAATTATATCGATATGAAACGTGTATTTATAAAACAACATATTGATATTTTTTTAAAAATCATACCTACGAATGTATCGCCATAACATTTTTCTTTGACTGAAATTATTAAAACAATACTTTAACTATGCTTAAAAATAAATTATAATAACACTAACTGACGTTTAATATACTTGCCTTTTGGTTAATTGTAGCGTCACCTGGCTAAATTAAAAATAAACATATGAAATAATTGCATAGGACCAAATGCAAAAAAAACCATAGACAATAAAAGAAACTCACTTCTCCTTCTTGTTCTTCTTTGACTTTTTCTTCTTGGATTTTTTTACTTCTGGCGATGCGCTGAAATAGAATAAAATATTAAGCACATAAAATATATAAATATACGAGTACACTATTAAAAACACTAAATACTTTTAATACATTGGTCGTCATTTTGCGTCCATTTTAAGTGAAGAAGTACATAAAAACATTTGGAATACATTTTCGAATCTAACTACATTTATTAAAAAAAAAAAATAGACTTTTTGTTTACAACACAATTTAGTTCAAAACACATATAAACAACATAATAACAATCTAAATGATAAATACCTTCTCTTTTTCTTCTTCTTATTCACATGAGTGTCCCGTTCTTCCCGCTCATGACTCGGAGTCCTCACCAGAGGGTATCTCTGGGCCTCATCCCTAGCCCTCCTCTCAGGATCCAAGCTGGTTCCCTCCACGAAACGCGGCGATATACCAAAAGCGTTCCTAAGTCGTGCATTCTTCTCTTGTTGCGCCTCAGCGACCGCGTGAGTTTCGCGCACGCTAAAAATTTAATCAAACCCTCAAGATGGCCGCCCGTTTGACATTTATCTAACAACATAGTTTACACAATATAATATAAGAATAAAAAGAGCATTTACTATTTTAAAAACACACGTTGTCAATTTAATCAGTTTAGAAAATATTTTAAAGCATTTAACTTTTTTTTCGTATACGACTTTGCTTTACTCATTCAATATGGTGTGTTGATTTACAAAAAACGTAAAAAAATCACATCGTAATAGCATAATATTAAGCTTAAAAAGCTCCAAACATTATTAACTGATATTTACCTGATGAATAGCACCTAAGTGCGCTAAAAATAGGGAAATTGCAAATTAATTCGGCATATACATATAACTGACAAGTTGGTCAACTATGACCAAAGTTTAATATAAAATCGTAATGCTATTACAGTTCATTGTTAAGTGTAACATAAGTGTGAAATCGTTTATAATCCAATATGTATTTATCAGTATGTAGAGCGGTTTAGATATTACCAATACATCGACCTAGTTCATACGTTAAGAAATCGATAGTAGTGCACACCTTATGACAGATCGCATGGACTTCCTCTCCTCCGCATTGGAGAGACAGACCTGCAAATTGTTGTTAGGATTGTTGCGATTTTGCATGCAATTGCATCGACAACAACAGCTCCTGAGCCCTTGCAGTATAGTTCTGAGGGCGGGCTCTAGCGGGTCATGCATGGCGGAGGTGCTTTGTAGGGGTTCGATTGTCAGATCCGGGTTGGGGTCGTGGGATGAGGCGCGCGGCCGCCGATGCGGACCAGCGAGTACCGCTTGGAAAGTGCCTCGCCACAAACGTTCGAATACTACCCTATTATTATCGCGACGCGACGCTCTGCCACGTTGCATTTTAACCTAACTTATTCTAATGGAAGACTTGGTTTCTTAAAACTAGGACTAGACTAAGCGGTGACCGCTGGAAGACTTGCAAAGGCGTGGGGCGTGAGGTTACATCGTAGTCCGGCCGGCGGCGGCCCGGCGGCGCTACTGAGGAAATAACAGGAAGCACGCGACGCGCGCACCCTGCGCAAACAACGCATCTCCGTTTTGTGATCTCTCAAAGGGTCCATTTACGCTTTCATCCGATATGAGTGACATTCAATTTAAAATGACAAAAAAAAAACAAACAATTTGATGGTACGCTTTTTATTTTACGTTTTTTAGTAACTTATTGTAAAATTGACGCAACGAATCGATTAGTTTCAGAAAGAGTTACTCGGTAAATACTACAATGTGTCATGGACTTGTAATTTTTATTATGTTTTTACTACACTTTTCTTTCATCCGATATGAATGACATTCAATTTAAAATGACAAAAAAAACAAACTATTTGATGGTACGATTTTTATTATACGTTACGTTTTTTTTGCGGTACGTTTTTTTAGTAACTTATTGTAAAATTGACGCGACGAATCGATTAGTTTCAGAAAGAGTTACTCGGTAAATACTACAATGTGTCATGGACTTGTAACTTTTTATTATAATGTTTTTACTACACTTTTATCTATTAAACTGTCTGTTTGGTTTAGAAATTTTATAGACAGTTTATGGATAGAGGAAAATTCACATGAGAATACCTATACAAATACGTGTTATTCATACTTATAGTTCTTAACGTATGCCTAAATATATTCAAGAAATTCACTTTTTCTTTATAAATTAAATATAGCTTCATAATATAGAGTGCGTGATGCGAAACAGTAATATGTTTTATTTCATTCAACTTTATCAGTGAAAGGCTGCCAAAATAAATTTTGTTCGTATTCGCAAAACAATTGACAGGAATGCCTTAAATTAAAATCTATATTATTTAAGTGTAGTAAAAGAAGAGAATTTGGACTAAAAAGGCTACTTTGATGTATTTTTCAAAACAATTTACCTTTTGACCAGTTGTATCAAACCAACTAAAACTAAAATAAAATTTATAACCAATCAATATTTTCATACACTAGTGCGCGTGTTAAATAAAATATTTACGCTTCACCGAAATGTTTTAACTTTTAATGTCACTACAAATCTTACTACATGAACATTTATATTTTACTGCTAAACTAAATATCGCAGCGGTTTCTGTGCCAGCAAATATTAATTTAGTAATTGAATCATATACATTTTATCCACCACAAAAATAAGTTTGTTTTTCACCGTAATTTCACTATTTACATTTACTGAACATAAAAATATTATTAAACCTTTTCTTTTAAAGTTAGTTAAAAATTAAATCTAAATTAAATCTAAAGCTCCGTATCTATTAGTGTTTAAGATATTTAGAACAGCAAGAATAGTCCAATTGTTACGTCTCGTAAATCATCGTGTAATATTAATGCGTGTTGTGTTCAAGTATATCTTTATATATATAATTCTTCTGTGAGTGTGTATGTCACTGAACTTCTCTCAAACGACTGGACCGATTTTGATGAAATTTTTTGTGTGTGTTCAAGGGGATCTGGGAATGGTTTAGATTCACAATTTGAATAATAATTTTCATCAAAAAAATTATTAAAAAAAGTTTGAAATTTTCAAATTAAAGACGTGTAGACAGAACAACGTCTGTCGGGTCCGCTAGTTTTCTATATAGAACAAGAAACTTGAGGTAGCTACAGTGTTTCAATTTGCACAGTATCTACGGTGAAAGAATTTATTTTGGAATTGAGATTGATACGCGCAGTTGCCAAAAGCTAATGTGCTGTTTTCATGTAAGTGTCTACGTTTCTCTATCTTTAGATGTAATCATACGTTAGCTGCCCCACACTCGTCTTCTTTATTCTGGACAACGTTTTGATTCTATTTCTGAACGTTCAAAACGTGCAAATTTTTACATAGCAATACGTTTCCGAGATAAGTGGAATTTATTTGCAAGGTGGTATTTCACGAGCGCTGAATTTTATTAACTTCGATAAGTGTTGCACGTTCAATATACTGATTAGTTTCTACGTTACATTTGAAGTCAAAATAAAGTAAACTAACTGGCTTACAGCAAGTTATTGATATGAACATTAAAAAAACTTGTATAGATTTATTTGTTAAAATAAAATAGGATCGCTAGCAAAAATTATCATATATGTATATAATATTAACACAAAGAATTTCAGATAGTAAAATTTTAGGTAGCAGTTTAAAGTACATATATTAAGTAAGTTCGTCGAAAATCGTTCGTGAACATTAATCTAAGTAAAAGAGGTGCGTCGGACGTTAATGATTCAGCATTTATATCCATACATATAATAAAATTGTAACCAAGCTGAATCTGTACATTAAATATTTTTTGGAATAGACATTATTATCGAATATCGATTCAGAGACCGAACCTACAGTTCTTAGGATATTTGTTTGTCTGTCTGTTACCGCATCACGGAAAACCCAGTGGTAGGATTTTTGGTATGATTGTAGCTGGTTGTTCGGGTTAACATATAGGTTACTTTTTACTGCGGGAAAATATCTCATCTATGAGAAATCTATACTAAACGTTAAAACGTAACTAAATTGAATGTAATTTTCAAGGTTATGCTACAAGATTTCCCAGTACATACCATTATATTTCATCTATACTAATATTATAAAGAGGTAAAGTTTGTGATCTTGTGAGTTTGTGAGTTTGTGGGTTTGTGAGTTTGTGAGTTTGTGACGTTGTAGGGGGTAATCTCTGGATCTACTGAACCGATTTTCAAAATTCTTTTACCAATAGAAAGCCACGTTCTTTCTGAGTGTCATAGGCTATATATTAACCCGAAAAATGAAAAGGCTTTTTCGTGGAAGTCGGATTTGCAAAGTAAGTCGGAGAAAAAACGGTTGAACGAAAACGTTTCTTACGAACGCTGCCTTAACGATGAGAGATATATGATTGTTCTAGAGAAAAGTTGTAGAGCTTAATAATGCCTACAAAAAAGTCAGCGACAGCATATGTCTAAATTTTATATTTAAGTCACAAAAAGTAGTTTTTTATATTAAAAAAATAATTTAAATCGGTAGGTCATGTTTATTGGTCATATTATCAACAATTATGAATTCTTATCAAAATAAGTAAACTTATCGTCTAAAATGTTTAAAACAAAAGACTTTTCCCTTTTACTGCATATAATTTGGACAAATGGTTAAAGAGATAATACAACATATTCGTAGGTATGGACGAACCCGAGCGAGCTGTTTGTCTGTTTTTCTGTTTGTACGGGCTAATCTCCGAATCTATTGGACCGATGTAAATGAAATTTTGCATTGTGGTACCTTATATCCCCGAACTACATCGTAGATACTTTTCATTCCGGAAAATTATAGAGTTCCCGTGGGATAGTTAAAAAACTATAACAACTTATACAGCTTAGTACACAAAAACTGACGCACCTAATTTAGTAAAATTTGGCATGCTGATACCTTATATTGCCGGTCAAACAACAGGTTACTTTACATCCCGGGAAAATGAACGGTTCCCGTGGGATAGATCTGTTTATGCTTTTCTAGAGGTGAACCCGAGCGAAGCGAGGGTGAGCCGCTAGTTATATATAAATCACAAATTGCCTTGCCATGGCTTATCTTGATTCCCACATGAGAAAATTAGTATAATCACTCTCGCACTTAACCACTTACACAGTCATTTTGTCTTATAGTGACGTTATTTTAACTTTTTTATTTATGTACCGATTGAAATAAATTAACACTAAATATTAAGTAAAGCTTACCGGAATATACTAGTGAAAACCCCACCCAAATTGGTTAAGCTGTTTCTGAGATAATCGCACACAAGCGCACAGACAAACAGACAAAAAATCTAAAAATCATTGTTTTGGGTTCTATTGCGTTTATAAAGAGCCCAAATAATAGTTTTTCTCAAATATCTTCCACATACAGATAGCGATCAGTTATAAATTTATTATAGTATTTATGTATAATTTTAAAATTATGGTAGCCCTAATCAAAATCTAACGTTTGGCAGTGACTCGAACCTGTTAATTTGAATGTAAATTTCGCCTGTCACATTATGTCACGTGTTATATCTAATTTATTTTAGCAGATTTATACTATAGCAGATTAATTATTTATTTGTAGGTGTTTCAACTTTAACTATTTCTTTTTCATTATATTGGTTTCACTATTGGGATTGGTTTTTGTTTGGACATGACATGACATGGATATTCAGACACTCAAGACATACAGTGAACGTCTCTTAAGTAAAAATATTTGTTATGGGTTTATTAAAGTAAAATATTTCAAAGAAAGTATTGAATACAACAAACTTATCTGGCCCTTAGTTGACAATATTATGATCTCCTTCAAGGTATTAAAACAAAATATCAACAACTCGGGGCCTGACATGCATCAAGACGTTTCTATTTTCTTTACCCAAGAAAGACTTGACCTTTAGGCCAAGAGGTGTTTGAAAACGCTCTAAAAAAAGAAAAAAACTGCAGTGAGAACAAAAATAAGACGACATATTCGGGTTGTGGACTAACGTTGGAACACATGCGAAGTTGAAATTAAATAAAATTTGTATTTATTGTATTTCATCATAACATGCATATATAAAAGTTAATAAAAAAAATCTCAAATATTTAAACATAATGAAACTATGTAAATAAAAATATTTATCTATAGAGATTTTCTTAACTGCAATTCGTATAAAATTGTTTTTAAAAATAAAAAAATTGATGTATTCAGCCCTTTTTAACGTCCCACTGCTGGGCACGGGCCTCCCTTCAATACGAGGGGGATCGGGCCATAGTCCACCACGCTGGCCAAGTGCGAGTTGGCAGACTACACACACACACGTCTTTCGAAAACTTGCTACGTTCTCTCAGACATGCAGGTTTGGATTAGGATTTCTTACGATGTTTTCCTTCACCGCAAGGCAAGTGGT